TTCAATAAAGATAGTGTCACGATTAGGAAAAAATTATGGACTTTCTTTTAAAAGCGATATTGCCCCAGCTGTAAACCTTGTAAAATCTGTAGAAACCACCCACTTTTTAAAATTAGTATTAAAAAAAAAATAAATTAATTTTTTTAATAGAATACAGCTAACAGGTGTTTACAAAAATGTTGATCTATTAAGACAAATTGATACAAGGCAGTGTGCAAAAGTGGAAAGGTGGGTGGTTGGCGGGTGCTCTGGTGTGGTTTGCTTCTTCTTTCCTATAAAACAAATATCGTCCTTATCTCCCCTTCTTCTTTTTTATGTTTGTTACTCTCTTGTAACACCTCTAATCTCCTGGCGCTCATATGACCTTATGCAGTTGCGAGCGCTGTAAAACCTCTACTAAAACTAAACTAAAAGTGAAAAGTGTATGTTTTATAGAAATATTTGACAATAAATTGCGTCATGAATTTTTGACCGCACTATAGTCTTCTGCCGCAGTCTTCATCTTGGTTTTTGCTGGGAATGATAATGATAGGAGACTGTATTGACATTGTTTATTGCAGGCCATGATTCTGTCCGTTTATTTATTTCTCTCATCTGGTTGGTCTTGTGGATATGTTGTCTTGTTTTCAGTTGTACCCAATATTCTCTTGTTTTTCTAGAGCATGAGCAAGTAGTTTGTTTTTGATATTTTTAGAGTTTGCTAGAATTGTTGGAAGTTTTGTCAATGTAGTGTTGTCATGAAACTACATGTGTTGTGGCAATGGATTTGAATGGGAGATTTTGTCCAATCCTTTCTGTTCTTAAGAGTGTCTTTTATGTTAAAATTTATTAGATGAATCCTGCAAAAATGTCTATGGAAAAACAGTTCAGTTGGCTGTGGCTGACACAGAGAGCTGATCTAGTTCTCTAAGACAAGGTCATTCACCTGGCTTGAGCTGTTATCCATGGACGCTAACATCACTGAAAGGATTCTAGTGAAGAGATTCATAAATGGTTTTCTTTAAAAAAAAAGGAGTTCTTGTTTTGGCAGAAGTCGAGATTTAGCTTGTGAGTGGTCATGATCGACTTGTGTATCAGGTAGAGTAGGATTGTCAAAAAGATCCTGAGTGTTTGTGTGTGAGGGTCTAGAGCTGAACACTATGTAGATGGACCGAGATTATTTCAACGGTGTCATTTCAGGAGTATTTTCTATAAAAATATGCATACGTAGCAAGAACGTAAATATGTCAAGCAGTTTAAATTTGTGCCGGATGTAAAGATGCAGAATTGTAAACCTTGTTTTCTCAGTTCCAAGATAAGTATAGGAATGAACAGTTGTTGATAAAGACATTTGTCTGGAGTGGAAGCTATATAAATTTATTGTATGTTTTTTTTCTCCATTTCTCACTGGTTGTTAGCATTTGATTCTGTATTATAGTCTTGAGCGTCTATAGGATATTGACATTATAGCTGTCTTGTATTCCTTGTAGGAGGGAAGAGAGTACATCTATTCAGATTCACCTTGTACTGGTTATATTAAGGATAGCTTTTGAATACAAATTCCCACTCAACAGCAAGCTCTATGTGTTTTACAATCTATTATTACCCTTGCAGACCTGATACTACTGATAGCATTCTGAAACAATTTCAACTTTCTCTGGGAAGCATAAAATGTCAAGCTGTCATTTTATAGGAACTAAAAAACTAACACACTGACAAGATCTTTTCTTGTGTTTTAGTTTTACAATCTATTATTGCCCCAGCAGACCTGATAGCATTCTGAAACAATTTCAACTTTCTCTGGGAAGCATGACATGTCAAGCTGTCATTTTATAGGCACTAAAAAACTAACACACTGACAAGATCCTTTCCTTTACAATCTATTATTGCCCCAGCAGACTTGATAGCATTCTGAAACAATCTCAACTTTCTGGGAAGCATAACATATCAAGCTGTCATTTTATAATTTATAGGCATTAAAAAACTAACACACTGACAAGATCTTTTCCTGTCTATGGCCAGGTAACCATTCCCATCTGGGTGAAGTGAGAAAAATTTGTGTGAAGTGTCTCCCTTGAGGACACAACGTCAGGCCTTAGGCTCGAACCCCGAATTCTCAACCTCACGATTTCAAGTCCGGTAGCCAAACCACTAGACCACCGACACTACTATATAAGTACCGCTCCTATTTTTTGTAACACTTTAATAATAATTTTAATAATATACAACATTTATCTAGCGCATTTCCAAAAAAAAAGTAGCTCAATGCGCTACATTGGAATACCCAATCAAAATCTTTCTGACTACTTCCTTTCTTCTCATGCAATATTATGCACACACACACACACACACACACACACACACACACACACACACACACACACACACACACACACACACACAATTTTCATTCAGACATAGGCACAGAACATCTATAATAAAAATAACTAAAAGCTTATTATGAAGGATAGGCCTGTAGGAACAGAAAATGCTTAAGAGGTCTTTTGAAGCTATCAAGTGTTCTTGTTTGTCTTAGTTCCATGGGCAATCTGTTCCACTTTACTAAACACTACTACTTATACGGTACACAAGTTGTAAAGGATTTGTGAATATATCTGTGTCTAATCAGAGTTAGCCTCATGCAGATTATGTTGAGGAAGCTGTTGTTTATTATTCATAGAAATTAGTGTATACAATGGTGACGAGAGCTTAAATGGACTCGCGGGTCGGGTGTAGCACCCCAGCTTTTTTTACTCACTCTGAGCAATCTTTTAACTTTTGATATTTTCCGATCCCTCATTCCGTCTAGATTATATTGACACTTGTCACTGAGCGATTAACATTAACAGAATTCAGTTGGGTTCTATGTTGTGTACTAACATGTTCGATGTTTAAAGTTTAACCTTGTTTTTCTCAAAACACACGTTTTCACCGCTTTTTGCTTGCATATATGCCGTTATTTTTACTCCACCATTTTTAAATTTTCCAACACAGAGACTTGAAACTTGGCATGTAGTTAGAGAGAAATGGTTTGTACTTGTAGTGGGCTTGTAGTTTTTTACATCTTGCTTTAGAATTCTTTTTACAATTTTTTTTCCATACCAAAAATATTTTTTAAAGATCAAATTCCATATCCCCAACTTTGAGAACAATTTTGGATACTTTCTTAGTAGGCCTATAGTATCAAAATAGCCAGCCGCAAGAACCTATTTATTTGTGACATTTTGCAAGTTACAGAATTTTAAAAAGTTAAAAAAAAACTAGAAAGGGTGGAGACAAAAATTTCTATCCAATTTTCAAAATGGCCACCGTTTCCATGGCAACGGCCTTCACAATCGAATGTGTCAGCAGATAAACATGAGAATGTTTTGTCTCATACTTACTGCCTGAGGCAAAATTTCTTTAAGTTTGTCTTTAGTTAAAAATGTTGTTCCGTAAGTTGTATTGAGCGTTTTATTGTTCTGTGTACTTCTACCTGTATTACCAGGGTCAAAATTGCCCATCTCTGACACTACTAGTTAGCTGTTATTACATAGGCATTATTGGGTTTTTTTCCCATCTGAAGCCTTTTCTTTTTTCTACTGTCATGGCAATGTTGCTATCAAGGAGACAACAGCTCAACACATGCATCAATTGGGTTTGCTACATTTATTGACGAGTTTTTCACACATCATCACAGCATAGTTCATAGCAGGATTAAATATTCTTTAGAATTTTACAAATTATTCTGCACAAAGATTATTGACTCACATCTGTTCTACTTTGTGACTTCTCATATGTTCTGTACAAAAAGTTGAACTAAGATGCAAGTCATATTATCTCTCATAAAATTGCAATGAGAGGCAAAAACGAAAAGGTAGTCCGTATCTACCATTCTTTGGTAAGATACAGTAGTTTCCGCCTAAGATCCCGGTGCTCGGGAGCAAGGAAATGCGGGATCTTTGGCGAACCGGGATCTTAACCAACCAGGGAAGAATCTACGGTGACCCATGTTAAGGCTCACAATCGGTAAAATGGTCTCCCTCCACTCTTAAAATGAACTGACGAGACCCCTTGGTGGGTTTATGGCATATAGCGAGCAAAGAGTGGTTAACGTTGATGACCTATCACAGTGCATAGTGGGATGAAGCGTGCCATTTTCACTTATTATCCTATTATGAGTCTCAAGATCCACGCTTCTATCCAGTTGCCCCTCCCCTTTACCTGTTGAAAATTTATAGCTTTCCATCTCTGACCTTGTCCCCCCAAGCACCTTTGTCGTTACACCCCATTACGTTGTGAACACACCAATTAAAATTCAGTCTGTCTTGCAAATTCGGGAGTAGAGAGAACTGCTGCAATGGTTAAGGAAGAGTTCATGGTTCAATGTGATCCCGCCTGGAGCGAACGTGTACGCCTTACCCACCCAGTGAGTGATGTAAGTTTAGGGGGAGAGCTCAGGTGTGAGTGCGATGCGTGGGGAAAACAAGTGTCGGTCAGTTCACACCCCAGTGTGATCCCGCCTGGGGCAAACATTGTATCCCTTCATCGAGTTTTACAACGCGTATGTGATCACATTCACGATAGTGGCTGATCTTTGATGGGAAGGACAGTTTATTCATCTCAACTTTTCACTCTTGGTTGATCAGCTGTCCCGCCCGGGTTTTTGTTCTGCAAATAATTATCTGAAATGTGGGATCTTTCTTAGCCGAATGTAGACCTTCAGAGTGAATCAGAGCAGGATATTATTAGGGGTGACTTTTGTATAGTAACAATTCTGTTTTCTTAAAATAGCAGGATCTTAAGTGAACCGGGATCGTAAGCGGTGGGATCTTAGGCAGAGACCACTGTATTATCATTACAAAATTTTAAAGGATGAAAAGCGACTCTTCAAATGACAATAAGAGCTTAGAAAACATTTGCCCCACTATCAAAATTTTGCTGTTAATTTGTTTTTGTTCATTGCTTCAAAATATGACCATAATGAATGCAGTACATGTGTGGAGACTTATTGAATGACAAATTAAATAAAAATGAAATTACACAGTACAAAACATAACTCTTTTTTCAAGCATGTACAATGAAAAAAAAAATTAAATACAAGCTAAAAACCTGAACAGACGACAATATTTGATCAAGTGTTAGACTGCAACATACCTATGCTAGACCAAACTATCACTGTAAAAAACAAACAGGTTTTTTTGTTTTGAAATGTCATTTGATCCATTTTCAACAGTGCACACTCTTGAGTTCACTACATAGTAAGGTGCTTGAAAATTCTTCTCTCCATCATGGGTTCTAGGACTGGCTCAAACTTGGACTCTATATCATCGTCGTTGCTGTGTTTTGGAATGTTCATGACAGTCACATGCTTTCCACTGAAGACTGTAGTTGTCAAGTTGGGAAGGTCAACATTGTGGAAATGCTCCCTGAAAAACAAATTCATGTCACGTTTTTAGTCTTACAAGACAAACTAGAAAACAGTCACCATGTTTACAGATAACAAATTTTGATTTCTGTTTGTATTGTAAAACTCACATATTTTGTGAAAGCAGTCGTTGGGCCTGATCTACAAATTTGTAGTCTAAGTAATTGTTAAAAGAAAGGTGTGACTAATGGTAATGCGAGAGACATTCTGGAAATATGTCATGATGCGAGTAGAAAAAGAAAGGGAAAGAATCAATTGTGCCTGGAAGTACTTGTTTATATGAGTATGAGTGATTACTTCCTTTGGCACAGCCCCAGAACAATAGGGTAAGGCATTCCTGAGAGATTAACTTTTTTTTCCCCCTGTGTAATCCAAACCAGAACTTTGAGCCTGGGGTTTTATCAACTTCGGCAAGCATAGGTATTCATTGTCTGTTCAGTTTAGGTGTTTCTTGGACTTACTCTTGCTCTTATCCTCTCATTGTCTTAAAAAATAGTTAAAGGCTTGGTGCCCAGCTGCAAAATCCACACTGAAGGTTATGTCTTTCCCGTGTGTCCTCAACACGTGTGTTGGGAAAAAAGATATATATATAAGATATATAAGATGTATAAGATAGCTGTGTGTCTCTGATAGGTCTATGATGTGTACAGTGTGCAATACTCAATAAACATATAATGATTTTATTTGTAGTGCACAGAAATTAATGCGCCCTTGTAATAAAATAGATAAGGTATGTTGCGGAAGAAAAGGTGCAAAGCCATAACAGCAGGGATTGTCTGTTCTGCAAGTGCAAGTGACTTATTGAGTACACATTAGCTAAGAGCTTGTTCAAGTGTTCATGGGTATTTTCCTGTTTTTATTCGTTTTATTACATTAAAAAAGAAAGGGGAGGGGGGGGGAGGGTCTTTCCCCTTTCATTGAGTTTTCAATGCATGCGAGTTCCACTATAACAGCTTCAAACTCCACTGGCCTACTTAAATGAAGGCCTTGTTTTCATCTGAACACAATGTATAGTTAAAAAAAAGGTTATCACCTTGAAACATTTCTGCGTATGATATGAAATGTGAAGATAATACAAAGTTCAGAGAGGTATAAAACAAACAACAGTTTTGAACTGAACAAAACTGAATTACAATATTTTTATTCATAGATTTCCAGTAACCACTTACTGTTCTTTGTATTTTGGTTGCATTCTTGACGCATCAATTGAAATCTCTTGTCTCTCCTTTGCGGCCTGATTTAGCAAAAAAATAATTGAATGATAAATAATTGAATTTGTGACAAACTGCAGAAAAATAAACTACAGTCTAACACATACATAGCGAAAACACATAGCGAACTGATTTTCAAGTCCCAAATTTTTTCCCACCACACTATTATATGCTTTGTATTTAAAACACATACATTCAAAATTTGTGCAAAAAGAAAAGATTTCCATGTTTCTGCGATTTCACTTTTATGTGTACTAGACTATTCTATGAGCAGTTCATAACATGCACATATTATATAAACTAAAAAGGAGATAAAGATTTTTACAGGCTGCACAGTACTGAAGCATTTCTTTAGAATAGAGTATCTCTAAGAAAATCAATGTACAGAAAACATGTATATAAGGTAACAGTGGTAGTCTTTTGTATTTCTGTTTCTATCTTACTCTAGTCTGTACAATACTACTACTGTAACATAAAATTTCTTAAGAACACAGTGTCAGTAAGAAAAATGGTGAAAAGAACATGCAACCAACAACAGTTTTTAACTCTCTGACTGTAACTATTGTCTTTCTTAACTATGAACGGATATTATTAACATAACTTTCACCAGCTGTTGACAGTTATTACATCCTGATTATTGAGTTTCATCCCTCTAGCCATGAAAGACCAAATTCCCATTGAAAAACGTGTCTTCATCTTAACATACAATTTTTTTTCCAAGGAACCACGTTGTGCTTGGTGAAATCATTAGTAGTAACTAAGACAATATTATTATCTTGATCATTATCTCTACATGAAAGTGACTTTATTTCACAGCGTTCTTTATTTTCTATTCTGTGTAGTGTTTGTTGAAGAAATAAAACCAGCAAAAAAGATTTACAAGATTTCAAATTTGAGATTAACTTTGAAAAATTTATGCAAAACACAAAAAAGATATATTTGTTTTGGGAAAATATTAGATCTTTTGACTCATTTATCTTATAAGATGAAATTGCTGTTTTTACAGAGCAAAAGGGAAGCTCTGTCAGGGTGAAACAAGTGCACATCTAAAGTTACCTCTTGTGATTGTGTGTTCAAAAGACTACGTTTAGTCATGCAATATTTACCATATCCTAGACAAGCACAAGAATGAACACAAGGACAAGGAATATATAAATGAAATAAACATGAAGCAGTTACAGTAAAAGTGGATTTTGTAAATTATTTCCTCTTTTCATGAATTTTACGCTAATGAAAGGTTGAAGTCTAGCACGTTCAGTTTTGATTTTTTTTCTCTTTTTCACTTGATGCACCTATTTTGACCTTCGGTATCAGGGTTGGGCATTGCGGACCTGGGAAACGGTCACTATCGAAACAGTGACTGGACATCAGCATACACTCTAGAAGTAAACGGGTGGGCATAGCAAAGCAGTGGGAAGGGAAAACAGAACCTTCTGATATTTCATATCCCTGGCTAGCGACAAGAAACAAATTCCGAAAGTCAAAATGCAATGATGTGTTTACATCTTATGAGTGTTAGAAAAAAAAAATTTAAAAAAGTAAAACTGACCTTGAGGAGGGCAAAGTTGGAAGTCCTTGACACATAATCATTGAAATCTGCAATGGCTTTTTCTTTCTGGCGGTGGTTCTCTCTTATCTGGAAAAAGTAAACAGACAAAATTCTGCAACTTTCCTCAAAGAAGTATGACATGAAAACAGACCATCTTTTGACTTCATTTTTTTCCACATAGGATATTAACAATGGTGAAAAAGATGAGAAGCATGTTCAGAAAAACTTAAGGTGAAGCAGAATGAAAAGGGGGAATTAAATTGCACATGTATACTATAAAGTAAATTTTTTTCTGAAAAACAAAACCAATAAATTTCATTTCATCATGAACACAGTCAGTCTAAAAATATAATCTGAACAGACAGTTCTGACAACAGGGTTCCTGCCATGAACTTCCCACCAAATTCAAGGAGGTTTCAAGGAGAAATTTTTTAAATTCAAGGAGATTTGGTCAAGAAATTCATGACGAAAGCCTACACTTGTCTGAAAGGAACCATATCATAGTTTCGATTTTCCTACAAAAACTGTTCCCAGGGTGACTGCCAACTATAATATATACACACACACACACGTGCGCACGCACGCATGTAGGTACATTATATCCAGTCAACAACATGATGTCAGTGTGGCATTGGGATACTGTGACTTAGGTATTTCAGTCTGTTCTTATACTTATTTATATTTTCTCCTCATCATATTCGCCTATGTTAACTATATAAAAATGAATCTTGCTTTGACTTTGAGCTTGAGAAAAGGCCTAGAACCAGAATATCCACTGTCAAGAACTAGTTTGGGTGTCAAAGTTTATATAATAAACGTGAAAGACAAAAATTATTGCTCTAACTCAAAGTAGAGTAATAACATGAATGGCTCAAGTAGACCTATTCAGAGTGAGAGGTGTAAGAACTGTGGGAGCGAAAGATGCAGTGACACTGAAAATCTGCGAATCTTGAACAGAAAGCTAAAATATAGAATATACAATACATATAATTTACTATCACCTACCCAATGAAACGGGAACCCTTTAGTTACAAACACACGGCTTACAAGGTTTTCACCAACGCGCGCTTTGCAGATAGCTCTAGATAGTAGATTCTAGTAATCAAAATTCTGAACAGTAAAATCTGCTTCCAAGTTTAGTTTTTGTCATACGGTGTTGCCTTTAACCACCCCCCTCCCCCGCGTGCGTCTTTAAAAAAAAAAAAATTAATAATACCCCCTTTCCCGAGTCCTATACTTTGCAGAACTCAGACTTTGCATGAACTTTGGTGACCTCAATCATCGCCGATACTCACGATGTGATGAAAATGCACAGGTTCAATGACAGGTCACGATGGCGAGCCCGACAGGAAGCTTATATAATTTTCTTTTTTTTTTCACAAGTGATAGCACAGGACAAACGATTTATTTTCATGGTGACACCGCGTTTGTAATGCAGAACAATAATGTGGCGCTATCAGACTACTATAGGCCCCACCGGCAAATTTCTGGGTGGTAACGAAAGCGAAAGTAGATCTTGAATTTCCCGATCGAGCTTCGGTATCGCACGTACACTTCCGCTAATTGTTGCCGCCATTATATAACCGCCCGTGCGCGTGTAACGTACTCTCAGGCCGGGAAAGGCCGAATAAATATTATATCACAATCGCGACCGGCAAAAATGAACTCATGGACGTTATCAGATTTGGTTTTCAACATTCAAGAACGTTTATGTATTTTCCAGGGTCTTTCACGGGCAATTTACCAATTTCTTCAAATTCCCGTAGCATTCCAGGTCTCGGCGATTTTTTCAAATTCTTGGGTAATTCCAGGGGTCCCCGGGATTCCCGGAGCCTGTCAGTCACTCTGTACACGTGTTCCTGTCTGATCTGGCACAATTCAAGGCGTTTTCAAGGAGATTTTTCCTTGAACGCAAATTCAAGCAGTTTTCCAGGACTCCTTGAATTCAAGGAGGCCGCGGGAACCCTGTGACAATTGTCATGCTTTCGTATGTTCCACTCATTACTTACGTCTGCATAGAATTCTTGCTCGTCAAGAATATCCTGGTTCTTCTGAGCTTCTAGCAGTTCACTCTGCGTGGTGACCACAATCTGAGCACGTTCTTCAATGGCGCGAGTGATGGCCTCAATAGCCTCTTGATCAGGTGTCACTGGACGGACCTGCTCCGCTTGCAACTCCCCAATTGTTTCCGTCCAGACCTCTCCCATCTTGAAGTCCAGATATTTCTCTGTTGAAAACAAAGAGATGATGATTTATAACAAGGCTTTGTGGTCTCAAATCGAAATGGAAAAAACAGCAACATATAATGTCGCTTGAAAGAGCATACATTCAATTTATCGTAGCCAATATCTCCTTCATTTCCCAGGATTGCATGTCTTTATTGTTTCTTCACGATTTTCACCAAAGAAATATGATTATGAACACAGATGTCTCAACCTGAGTATGTCTATACTAATCGCCAGTTTGTCAGTTCAAGTTGAATCCTGTTGGAAAGAACATCGTCTCTCGATAGACATATATCCATAGTGTCCCTAAATCTAGGTGATAATACATTCAGTTTATCTGCAGCATGTGTCACAATCAAAGAAAAACTAAATGTAAAAAGCTGACAAAGCGTGGAAAGGAAATCATTTGTTCCTACTAACATCACTCCAAAAAGAAATTGAACAAATTATTTTTGAGCCTACCTATGATTGTTAGAGTGACGTGGTCCTCCACTGTTAGTCCAGGCAGGTCAGTGAATCCCATTTTACAGAAGAGGGAGTACACTTTGGCCCTCATGTTTTCTCCAACATCAGCAATGGCCTGGCTGACACATGAGGCTGGCATGGCAACAGTGCCCATCTCAACTTGAATGTGACCCATCAAAGGATGGTGCACATCTTGGAAGGGGAAAATAATCCAAACAAACAAAATTAACGAGGTTGCACCCTCAGCTGGGAGAACAAGCAAAAAGCAAAACTCATTATTCAAAATGACTTTATGATATAATTTGAAAAAACCCTGAGCAAATGTTTTAAGATTACAGTGGAATCCTGTTATAACGAGAGGGAGGGGACTGAAGCAAAATGTCCGTTATAGCAGGATTCAAGGGAAACTGTAAAGTAAGCCTAATCTATGAGTTTGGTGTTCTGTTTTTGCTTTTGCTATCTCCCCTGATGGATTTTGTTTCAGTTTCAACATGCCCTCTAGGTCTTACTTGATCAAAAATCGAATCAGGTTTGTTTCTCTAGCGCTAGATCTAGCGATGTGGACTGACAGCTCGGCGTTGGCCATCAGAAAGAAAGGGCTCTGGGCTAACTCGCCCGCTGTGTTTTCCCCCCACCCTACCTCACCCTGTGGTGCATTCTGTCTGCTGCTTGCGCACGTCACACATTCGCTCCATCCATCACATTGCTGTGACCTCTCCATCCTCTCATCGGAGAAGTGAGAGGCATGGCAGGCCTTGATAATCTAAACTGGCCTATCACGCAATGTGTTCTGCTTGTCTGCGCATGCCACACCCTCCGTACTCAGTTGCCCCGACTTTCATTGTTGACGCACATGGGCTCTCCTATTCTTTGTTTCGAAAGATCAGCAACAAGTTTCTCAACTGGCGAGGTCTTGCATTATGTATAATTGGCCTATGCCATGTGCACAGCAGCAGCAATATTCCACTATAACCGACTCACAAGTGTGTCTGATAGCGCTATAGCAGTATTTTGTTTACAAAGGTAAAGAGGAGAAAAAAACACGGTTTTAGAATAGTGCCTTTATAAAAGACTTCTCGTTTTTTCCGGACTCGTTATAAGTGGACTCCACTGTAATAATCACAGTCCTATTTACGGAAATTTAGTTCTCAGAGAGTGGAAATAATCATGCTCTGTCACCTGTGCTACTCTATATTCTTGTTACTGAAAATAATCAAAATAAACCACAGCAAGAGAATTCGCGTTTGAATATAAGAAGGGATAAAAATTGTTTAGATGAGATAAGATAAGATAAGATACATCTTTGTTGTCCAGATCCTGGCACTTTGGTTGGGTGTTTCACCACGTATGCACACACACGCACACCCATGTGCACACCTATACATACACACACACACTCTCTCTCACATCCTCTCCTCCACACACATCTGTCACATAATCAAAATAGTTAAGTACAATAGTATGCTTGCACTCACAAACAGGCTCACAGTCACATGCATAATATCATAAATGAACAGTAATTGTAAACATTAATAGTGTAAAGCTAGATCAATTACTCAGTATTCTGACCATAACTCTGATATTGCATGCTTTAAAGGTCATAGGAATACTTATATCAAGATGATTAAGATGGTAGAAGTTCAATGGATGATGGTAAGAATGACCTTTCTTTGTTACAGATCAGAAGCCTAGGTCTTTTACTTCTGATTGATTTTTTTTTATTTGAGAGAACAAGCGGTGTTTATTTTCCAAAAAGATGGAATTAATTTTTCTAGTGCAAGCGATAATCTATAATTCATAGAAGTAGGGAAATGTAGATGTTGAAATTTTGTATGCTTCCATAATTTTCTTTATTTTATTGTCTTGTGTTCCTGGCCCATGCTGTCATACACAAATTGATCATACTTTCTATGGTTGAATGATTGAATATGGACATCCATGATTTGCCAATGTTAAACTAAATGAGCTTCCTCAGAAAAAACAGTCTTTTGTTCACTTTTTTATGCAGGAAAGAAGTGTGAACATGCCAGTTGAGGTTGTTGTCTATTGTAACGCCAGATTACACTTGCTTGACATTTTCATTTTTAATTTCGAGTGTCTGCAGGGGCAATTTCTTTTTTTCTAAAGTAAACAACAAGTTCTGTGATAAATTTTTCACATTTAAAACCAACTTATGAGTTTCACACCATTCACACCACTCAGAAAAGTTTAGTATAAAATTCCACTGAGCAGTTTCGTCATGGTTAGCCTGAATGAGTCAAATTAGGGTTGAATCGTCGGCAAATTTGATCAACATCTACTGGCGACATAACACATCCTTGAGGGGCCCCTGTATTTGTTGCGATGTGTGTCGATGACGAATGTTTCAATTTTACGTACTGGGTTTGGTTGGTAAGAAAATTCCCTATCTATGATGTTAAATTGGTATTAACTCCTATGTCTTCTGATTTCTTTCAAAGGATAGCTGGCTGGACAGTATGTTCTCATCCATCTAGAAATATTTTCGTCTCAGCCCAGATTCATGACACGATTAAGTGTTTTGCTTCGGAAATAACTTAAAACATAATGAGAACAGCACTAAAATTTGTTATTTCATTTTCTCACATCATTTTCTGAATAGAGGGAAATTTTTATTAATCTATTTAATGTGTATCAGATTTACCTTACCTGATCCAAACACTGATTATGGTACCCAATGTATGGAAGAAGGAAAGTTCTACAATTAAACAAGAAAAAAAAATTGAGTCACTAGAGAAGTCTTTCAGAGAAGACAAGATTGTGCTCACAGCAGAGACATACCTTTAGATCTGACAATATATATTTTATAAATTTTGAGATGACATTAGCAGACTAAAAAGTAAAAGTACGCTGATTTCCCAAATCATTGAAATTATCTAAAACACCTACCTGTAATAGCCCCTTGAGTATCTCTTCTCACACCGATCTCACTCTCTTCCAGTCGCCAGATCTGACACAGAAGGTGAGACGCAGTGCATCCGTCCTTCCCACGCCACGTCAACACATGGTTCACTGTCTTTGGGTTCTCGCACAGATCCAGCAAGCAGCCCAGAATCACATTATGCATGTTCTTGGGACAGACCTGAAGCAATTTGAAATAGAGGTGAAAACCGATGGAAATACATAGTTGGTCAGCTAACAAATGGCGAGATATTTAATGAAAAGAAGAGTGGTTACCGGTGAAAATATCACATTATCATGTTGAATATCTTTAGATGAATTTGAAATTTCAGAGGCATCTCTTGCACATAAAAAAAACTTTGACCTAAAAGTTTTTACAGAGCTCTACTTTTACAGTGCTAAAGAAAAAAAATCTTACCTCCAGCAGGTCAAAGAGCAGGAAAACTCCTTCCTTCTCTAGGAAGTAGTCTTCTGTGACAAAGCAACCAACAATCGCACACCTGCGAATAAATGTTTACAAACACAAATTGTTTCAATTCAGATTCTTCACTTTATAACTTACATTTGCAAAATACCAAATTATATGAATAAGCTTTTCAATAGTGGTAGCATAAAAAAGTAACAATTAAATAATTTATTATAATAATAATAGATAGAATTTGTATAGCGCAAATCCCTGCTCAACAGCAAGCTCTATGCTCTTCACAATCTATATATATATGAATTAGATATATAGTACAGATCCATACAGCAGTTGATGTGAGTTTTGGAATCTTTTGAAAGGCTTCTTAATCCTTAGCCTTGTCAGAGATAGAAGTTAATTCGGAGGAACTTAACTCTCCTAAAATAATTTAACCGTAGCTACGCTTACCTTTCTTCTAACACGTATATCATTGGATATTAATGTTACGGCTTCTGTTTTCTACTACTGATCTGTGATATTTCCTACAGAACAGCATGACGATGTCCCACAGAAATCAACTAGCACAGCCCCCTGCACAGTATTTGCTCAAGTATTCTCCTTCCTATAGCGGGCGTTAAATTCTAATACTAATACAGAATTTCTTATATAATACTGAACACAGACTTGATGCATTTTCATTTTAAATTTCATTCCAGGAACAGAGAAACCACATTTGATCATACCAAGTGCAGTCAATAGAAGCCAGGAGAAGTTTGTGGTGACCCAGTCCACTGTTGAGGAGCCGTGTATCGGTGCGAAGGTAACGAACAACCATATCAACACCTTGGACACCAAAGAGTTCCTGTAGAGAAAGTTATTCATTATTCTATTGTTATATTTACTCAACCAGGCCAGATGTGTTATTAAAGAAAAAAACAAGGGTAAACAGAGGAAAATATGTGGATGAAAGATTGAACATTTTTTTGCTGTACCGTATGTAATCCTATGAAACAATCCAGGACATATGATTGAAAATAAATTGAAGATATTAATCTATAACTTCAACTATACTTGTTCTTACTGCTGAAATCATACGGCTCTAAAATTCGTTTTCTGTTTGTCCTATACTCATTGAGACACACGAAGTGACACAAAATGACAGCTGGTTGTTTTTGTGCAGTAAGCAAATGAACTTGGCCAATTTTCGATTGTCCAAGGTTTGAATCCAAGAGAGGTGCCAGTTGTATCCATTTCTCTTGAAATATCTTAGACACCAGCTATGTGTTTAGTTGGAAAGAGGTGACACCAATAACCTTTTATCCTTTGAAAAGACTATAAAAGTGTAAGATGCTGCATTTAAGTTCACTATTAACTAAATAAGAACAGTTTTGACCACAAAAACCAAAACCCACAACACATTTATATTCATTATTCATACCTTGCGGTGCATGTCCCCATCACACAAACAGGACAGAATGAAGAGAATGTCAGACTGCATCTCAATCTCCACAACATCATTTTCATCTGTTCTCTGGGTGAAGGCTGTATTCAGAACCCCTGTAACAGACAACCAACATATGGATTGTGAATAAAATAAATTTGAAATTACCATTGGCCTTCATGCCATTATTTTTCCCTATACATTTTTTGTTCAGATCTTGCCATTTCTTCAATAAGAATTCATCAATAAGTAATATACAAAAGGTAAACGATATTATATTAATTGAAACAAATGACATACAAGAGTCAAATATTTCTTATCAGGGAGATTAGCAAACGGAGCCATCTGAATCATATTGTAGTTAAAGCTTGTTCAAAATAATGATTCTGAAAGTATCACAGGTAGGGCTTATAATACTTCTAATACTCTATTTTTCAGCAATAAACTAATGTCCTGTAAAGTATTACTATTACAAGAAGAACAGTATTTCAAATAAGTCCCCTTGGCCATGGTAGGCTCTTGCCAACTTACAAAGGTTAATGAATCTATCAAGTGCATTAGAAATCGCATAGAGTCATATTATTTCTTAAAAACAAGGGGAGTCATGGGATGTGATTGTTTGTACAGGTGATAGTCTTGGGCAGGTGGCCATTGAAGCAGATTCAACTGTACTTCCTTCTCTCTGCTGGGATGTTGTATCTTGCCCTCCCAGTACTCCCAGCAGCACACACATGACACTGCTTGGGCCAAGTATGTCTTTTTGAAGCAACACAGAGGTCAAGTTCTACAAGTGCGAACTGGCTTGTACGTCTACACAACTCTATCTGACCAGTTGAATAAGAGTATAGCTTTCTTTCAAATAGCCAAAAAATGAGGAACCTACTGGTTCATTAACTCAAAAAAATTTTCACAAGGCTTCCCTTAACTGAAGCTACTAGTCCCACCGCATGAAAGAGGTACACCTCACCCTCACATTGTTGAAACCGAAACTGAAACAAAGTCAAAGACACTGTCTATCTCACTGCCAGTATTTCTCCACTTCTGACCATAACACTAACACTAACACTATAACACTGCAGTGTAAAATGGTAAGGTCAACAACCTTGAGGGCCGTAATAAGTCAAAAGGTTTCATCTACAACAGTCAAACTTAGCAGGTGGACGATTTGGACTCCAGGACTGTGACCTGTCCTGGCCGTCCAGAGTATCCAGTTTCCACATGCCGTCTCCCATCTCCCTGCTCAAACAAGGGTGAATTTCAGCCCTGAATCTTAGGATTACGTTGTGCTCTGATCAAACTGCTTGTTACCAGTTCAGTGAAGTATCAACAACTTGAACAACAAAATTTGTGTAAAGGATACAATGTAGTCAAGTAAAATACCTTGTCAGAGGGAGGAGGGGGGAAATACAAGGCTCTACGTTATGATTGAATGAAAAACAAACATAATTAGAATAATATGTTGGATCACGGCAGAGAATTTACAAAAATAAACCTGTCTACAAAAGCCTGAACACATCGAATCAAAGTGTTATCTAATCCAAGGGTCTTACCAAGGTTCAAATGTTGATAAACATAGTTAAATAATTATCTGATAAATCATAACACAAAAATTGAACAAGGAACATTTCTAAAATATAAATAAAATTACATACAAAAGCAGCAGAAGTAGAAACAATCACAAAATGAAAAAAAAAAAAGCTTGCTTTAAAAAGCTAGCACATCATTAAAAAAAGAGGGGCATGACTGTTTTGATTTTGATGTTTTGCATTCTGTTGCCTTACATCTATAGAATCATTCTTTCCATTATGCTTGCCAATCTTATATGAGTACATGCTTTAAAAACCTACAAAGTGATAAGTATGTTCAAAATGAGCACAGCACTCAGGATACAAAATAGTGGTAAAATACATGAGCAATAGATGCTTGACTTTCCAGTCTACTATGAGAACAATTCTCTTTATATATATATAAAGAGAATTGTGTATATACTGATCCACATTTCATCATGACCTTTTAAATGCTTTCTCTTGCAAACACAGCATATGATTCTGAATCTTTTCATAAAGTGCTACTGCACATTTATGTCTTCCATTGCGAGTGTTTTCTTGACACTCCCCTGTAAAACTGAATTCAGCGATCTAATTCATAGATATTTCATGTTTATAATATAAGTATTAATCAAATGAACTGTTTGAACCAAACTATCTGTAATACTGAAATCAGGTACTAATTCAATGACTCTAAAAAGTAACATTTGACAGAGGAACATGAAGTAAGGGAACAAAAACAAAGTTATCACTATGAAATATTGATAACACTGAACTTGATTTCCTTGAAACGCAAAAAAATAATAATAGCAAAATGAGATGAACTGTAATTTAAGGTAATCAGATAGGGAGCCAATTGCTGAATTAAGAAGACATCACACAAAAAATTATCAGCTACAAATGTAGATTTTAGTGTAACATATGTCAGTCCTTAAAACTTAAACACTGCAAATGCCAAATTTACTACGTGAAAGAAACAATAACAAAACATTGGGAAGGAGCCTTTTACAAAAGCACATCAAAAGCAAGTAAATAACACTCTTATTATTAATATTAATACTATTACTATTCAATAAAATTAGAATAGGATTTTTCACTCACAAAACTAGCCAAATTGAACAAGCCGGATGCTTGATAGTTGGCACAAAGGTCACATTGCTGTGATATTACAAAGACGAAGAAAATCAGAAATTTTGATAACCGTTTCTTTTAAGAACGCGTATTCGTTTTTTTTTTTTTCAATTGGAAGCTTGAAATCATCTACAGTATCTGAACTTTTCTCTTGAATATTTGGTAGATTTCAATGCTCCATATTGAACAGAGGCGTAAACAGGAACAGGTCAACAAAAATCTTTCATCTCTATCTCATGAGCGAAGCTGTAAAGCCAGCAAGTGGTATACATGGCTTTGTACAGTAATGAAGAAAAGCACACACTCAGAGAGTACTCACACTTTGTGCACAGAGCTCCAGAAAGATGACAAAGAGAGGTACACACATATTTACACGGAATATTTCATACTGAACACAACCACTCTTCCTTTTACAAATGGTTCAACTTACAAACATAATCTAGTATTTTTTTGGTTTTAAATCAAATGCTGAAAAGCTTTCGATATAATATAAAGAGTTTGAGTAAAAAGGTTTTAAAGTAAAGAATCACTCTGTGACGCATATCATAATACTTTTACTTTTATAGCGGTAACGGTGTTCACTACATTTTTTGTGCATTCGATCATAGTCAGACCAGCTAATATTAACTTATATCATTAGTGCATCTCTGTATTTGGCTACGGTTTAGTGAACATAATGCACATCATGTATTTATTCTAAGAAAAACTGACTCTAGGTATGAAACGTACTTAAGTGCAAAATTAACAGAAGCAGAAGCAAGAAAGTAGAAAGGATTTGCTTTTTTAAAACTCATCTAAAGAGAGAGAGCATCTATCTGCCATTTAAAAAATTATAAAAGATGTCAGGCTAAAGATGCCTGCTATTTGTCTCTCTCTCTTGAATATTGACGTGACTGCCGGAGATTTTCAAACTCAATTTTCAAAATGAATTCATTAGAGATCAATGGATCTTTAAGCAAAGAATGTCTTGTCAAACAATGAAGCTTACTGCTTTGTTACTGAGGTCCTGGCAGCTAACTCATTCTAAGGGGCCTCTTAAAACTAAGATTACTGGAAACATTCCCACAATAGCATGACAATAATGAGGATACAGGCAGACCACTCATGTATGTGTATGGAACAAACTTGATCTGTCACCAAGAGCTTGATGTAAAATGCACAAAAGTTGAAATGTCAAAAGTATTTAGTAAGAGAGCAACCAAAAACCCAGGCTTTTTGGGTTAAAAGTGTATCATTCAAAAAGAATAAGTGTGGGTAGAAATAAGTGTTGTTTGTTACTTATAGCAGAGATATTCAAAAACATGAAAAGGAGAAGTATCTTTATGGCAACCCCATCCAGCAGTAGCCATTTAAGAGAAATGAAAAAAGGAGAGGAAAGATGAAATCTACGCATTTGAGCAGTTTCTTTTATGAGCAAAAGAAATACTAGCACTGACAGTAGAGAAAGGTTTTTTTTTAAATTGAGAGAAAAGAAATAAAATAAATGATTGTAAACCTACCAATGAGTTGATTGATGGCTCCTTGGTCGGCCAGATCCTGCAGGACAACCTCATCCTCCGTGGACACAACACTCCTCATCAGACGCAAGCAATGTCTCATTTGGGCCTTCTTGTTTCCCCGACCACCAGTACCATGGAAGCTGTTTCCTTGTCCGCAGAATTCATCTGTCCCAAACAAGAAAATATGGAAGAATGTAAATACTGTACGGAGATAAAAGTAAAATAGATGACTAAAACTAGGTAGGCTACCAGAAACTAAATTTTCAAAGTAGCTGTATGCCAAATTTATCTGTTCCATTTGAAAGGCCTATATCCACTGAGCATTTTGGTACCATTCTTTAACCTCTAAGTCAATTTTTAAGAAAATGGTAGTTGTTTAAACTTTGATCAAATTTGTTAAAGTCAGTCACTGGCTGCAACCCCATGTTTAACAGACAATAAAAGAGTACCAAGTGCACTAAACATCTCCACATTAACAGAGTACAATCACTATAACAAATATATGGAGCCTAATTTTTTTCAAGACTGAGATCATTACAAATCAGTATTTTATCACCTCAAACACGATGATCTGTCGTTATTTCGACAAAAACACCGAGCGTTGACCTGGCCGGCGCCGCACCAGCCCCCGCAGCGAGCGAGTCGGCTCTATACTGTAGTGTACCCCGCACGCGGGGTCACATGCTTTCCGAGTCTCGCGGAAGGATTGATGAGAAATAATTCCAAGCTGATTACTTTATTCTAATAGAAAATAAACTGATCTTGTAACTGATTGTTTTTTTAAGCCGGTATTTTACATATTTTGTGTAAAAAGTGATCTTTAAACATTTTGATAGTATTTTTAAAAGCTTTCTATTTAAACGCCAAAGGCGAAATATATACCATGGGAAAGCCCGTTTAAAGCTCTACAGTTCTCCGTCAATGAAAAGACGGTACTTAATCATCCCTCGTTCCGCGAAGCATTTGAATGCACGCGTGTCAATTTTTCAACCGGCCGACCAGGCATTCCGACCGCGAGGGGCTTCGCTTTCATTGGCGATTCTCCAGCTCCTAATAATCGGATATATAAACAACTTACACCATTGTAACAATCAAAAGTTGAACTTTTACAAGGTGTACGGCCTTGGGTGTTTTATAGCGAAAGAGCAAAGATACAGCGATCGGAATTACCCTGATTTCACCGATACCATGCGGTCGGAAGGCCGCGAGTGCCCGCGAGGCCGTGTTTACGCTACCTACTAAAACAATAAATCAATTAATTAACTCTAAAGTGTTGCTCATTTTAGAGGCCCTAAAGTTTCACTTAATTGCACTAAATTACAGCAACAGAAAAAAATTCAGAAGTACAGGGGACATTTTTCATAAAACTGTATCTCATTGCTTTCCATCACAACTGGATTTAAGAAATGATCTCTTTGTTGGAAAAGGAGGTGGATATCATGATATTATCAAAGAATTGTTTGACATTGGCTTTTCAATTCTATAGAGATATATGTGTCTTAAAGAAAAAAAGTACATGTATGTATGGACTACTCATGGTGAAAATAGTGTTGACATTCCATTTAAAAACTGACCTGGACCAACACACCACTCCAGCAACAGCAGGAGGCGAGTGGAGCCCTGACACGTCATGTAGTCCTCCAGCAGAAGTGGGCACAAGGTGCACAAGCAGGCCATAGCCTGAAGCTGCAGTTCTTCAAACTGGGCGGGGTTCCATTCCCGGGGCCCGGTCTTTTTGTCATTTGCATGCACAAAGGAAAACAGGGCCAAGAGGAGATGGCCATCGGACAGAATCTGCACAGAGGTGAAAGTGAAAGTTTAGTCCCTTATGTCTAATATGTTTCCGGTATCAACAAGTGCCTAACATTACTAACAATTTGCAGATTTAAAAATACATGTAATCACATTTTAACCATTCCAGTCCCGTGCGCATATATTATTTTCAGCAGCGCTTGTACCTCCCACTGTCCCAAGAGCGTATGTTACCCAGTTGTTGTTGTTTTTGTTTTTTTTTTGGGGGGGGGGGGGGTGTACCAAGCCTAAATTAGTGAACCTAATCAAACTTTAATTTTCAGAATATTTGTCACTTACCTATAAACATTGTATGTTATTATCTAAACCTCGTATCAAAGCTCATACTACATCACTTTTTAGAATCCATGCCTCTTTCTGAAAAATTGCTGTTTTGGCTGGGACTGGGGTTAGAAAGTGCACAAAAATGGCTGGGGCTGGAAGGGTTAAACATTAGAATTTTACCGGTGTTATGCTAAATATATCAGAAATCATACAAGTAATAACATGTTCTGTGTTTCTGCTCTTGAAAACATTGCTGTATCCAGAGCATATAAATTGAAAAATGCAAAACTGGTAAGTAAATATAACCATGATATAAAAATATATAAAAAGATTTTACTTTTCTTGTTATGGTAATTTAATTCTGTAGTTAAAAATTTTAGCACTGTCAGGAGCACTTCAACTACCTCTAACTCTAATAAGGGGAGTTCTTTCTTTGTCAACTATGTATGTCACAAAATACAGCAGAATCTTTTAAAGACAATAAAAAGATTGTGAAAATTTTAAAAAGAAGAAAAAAACCCCCATCTGTTAATCTTTTCGACAAAAAAACTTTGTTATGCATTATATTAATTTAGACAAAAAACCAAAAAAGATTATGGAATGATAACAAGAGAACATCAGGTTCACTGAAGCACACCATGACTCTGGAACAGCCCACAAACTGCACTTATATCTTTTCTTACACTCCACATTGCACATAAATACTGACTTGTTTATGCTAAGCAGCTAAGCGTCTTCTTCTGTTCACTATGTGTATGCTTTACTAACCACTGTATCATGTAGACACAAAGGATTATGATCAGTGGTATTTATGATGACATTTTCAGTCTTTCATCTTTTTTATTGGGGCAGCAAGGCACTAGACTGGGAACAGTGAAGCATTACTGTAAGAACAAGACCCATACTTGTAATTATAACCGAAGTTTCACATACATAAATAAAGAAACTTAATAAAGCAAATTAGTAACTTGAAATACAAGCTGTGAATCTTAATCTTGCAAAAATATATATGTCTTCTGTGTCAATCATCTCAGGAACACAAAAAAGCACTTACTGAGACAACTGTGCTGTCTTTGCTCAAAACCACCAATATGTTGAAGAGCAACTTCCGAAGTTCAAAGTCCTCATGATTTGTCAGGAGTTTCAAGTGGCGGACCAGGGCATTGTGAGACTTGACTGGAATCAACAGGTACAGTAGAGTTAATGCCTATGTACTTTGAAGATGACAGACATACGAACTCACACATACTAGCACACATACACATGTACATGTGCACATATGTATTCACCCATACACACATAGGCCTACCTTCACCACCACACACTTAATACACAAACCCACACACTTAATACAGTAATCCGCATCAATCTAAGTCTTTGATGCCAACAATGAGTTTTGAAGATCATTAGTGATATAATCTTTCTTATTATTAGTGAGGTGTTTTCTTGAGCACGGCTGGTGATCTCTAGAGATAAAAAAAGGTGATTCATCATGGCAAGCCCTAACAGCAGCAACAGCATGGTCCTTCTTTAAAACAGGAGCTAAAAAAAAGAAAAGTAGACTTTCCTTTTATTTGTAACAACAAAACCTGTTAGTGATATATAAGCACAAGAAATACCTTCCTGAAAAGTGGCAAACAGGGTAAGTTGTTTTGCAAATCCAGTCTCCACAAAGGGGGCTTCTGGGCACTGGGAGGCCACCAAAGTAGCAATAACAAGGAGGTCATTCCTCAGTTGTCGGTCATAGTGGCTGTACCCTTGTGTCAGCTGATAGACAAAGGCGTCTCGGAGTTGACTGGAACAATTGTACAATGCAGATCAGTATGAGGATCAACCATTTGTGGACATCACTGACAACTATTTTTAAAAGTTGTCGATTTTAGTTGATTTCATTCAAAATAGTATACATTTGTTCATGTTTGAATACATAAAAAAACCCCACAGGTCTAAATATATTATTCATTTGTGTTACTTGATGTGGATGGAGGAAAAGACACACTCCAGGCATGTGCACCTTTTGAGCATGGCTCATATACTAAAGAATCTTTAAATGGCTAAAATTCTAGTAGGCTACATCATGTCAATTGACTACCAACTTCAAGATCTTTTTGATGCCTTAAGAGAATGAAAGAGTGTCAGGAATGTGCTAAAAAGACAGTGAATCTCCATCCATTCACCTGATGCAGGTCAGGTTGTTGAGCTGTTTAGCCAGTACTGCTTTGTCCCCGTTCTCCATTAGGTTCCACAGAGTTTCCACTGATCGAAATAAAAGCTGTCCACTAGAGTCTGGGTCCATCAGACGAGAACAGATTCGTCTTCCACCATCAACAAAGAGCATCTGGTCACAGTTCTTCACTGTAATATAATAAACAGTAACATTTTCACATTACATTAGAAAAAGCATTGAAAAGACTTTTCAGATGAGAAAATAAAGAAAAAGTAAGACCAACTCAAACTAACAACTTGAATAAAATAAAGTGATTGTGATAGGAAAATTACATAGAACCTGTAAGGTACATCATTTAACATATATATAGAGCATGTTAATAATTCACTGCTGCTACTGATATGTAGGAAAATTGACAATTTGTTCTTTTGGTTTACATTATGGTACTGATAAGATTTAGTTTTCCATCTAACACAGGTTACAAACTGTACTCTGGATTAGTACTATAAAGGATTCAAAGGGCTTAAAAGACATGGTCTCCTCATTCCTTTACAGACTGAAATAATTTCATCAAAAGATAAAGATCATTTTCAATTATATGCCATTGTCATTTTCATTCTAACACATTTCTCAACAAACATTTTGGTTCAATTACCAGAATTTTTGGAGAAAATCTGAAGGATTTCAAGCACTTTCAGTTTCGCAGGCAAATCTGTTTCCAGCAGGGCCAATGACTGAAAAGAAAATAGATGAAAGAGAAAAGTGAATACTGAAAACACAGATAAAGTAATTCAGGTGAATGATCTATCAGGTCTTCTGTAATGGAAATTCAAAGAACCCTGAAATAAAATTCTTGGTAAGCCTTTGTAGCAAACTGTAGTAAAGCCCTGAAACAGTTCAGTAAGTCCTATAGCCTATATTGCAGCACAATGGGGGGAGGGGGGGGGGTGGTGATACTTCAACAACACTTCCACTAATAATTCTATTTTTGGTACTCGCCACAGACAAATCAAACTATTATTGGGGGTGAGGAGCAATAAAAAGTGAAGACAGACGATGAAAAAATAGTACATGATATTGTTGGTGTTGCAAGGAAATTATATTACCCAACATTTTTTGGCCATTATAAATGATATTTGATGGCACTTGACCAAAATGTTCATGATTTAAAATTAAGTTAACTTTTTACAGTCAGCCTGTCAAGACATTTATTTATAAAGAAGATGATATTTGTATGGTATATTTTGCTGATGACAAGCTAGTGTTTATTATACCATACTGACCGATTTACCATTGAATTAAAATGAAAACAATAATTGAAGGTCCAGGGTGTACTTATGAACAAAACTGCTACTTTACCTTGACCAAGGTCTCTGAGATGTCACTGAATTCAATCATTTTTCTGTTGAATGCCAAATCTGCAGGCTTGAAATCTGTATTTCAGAGAAAAAAGAAGATGGCTGATTTTGTATCAACAGAGTGGAACAAAGTTACCTACTTGGTAAGGGCATATTTTGCATATTTACTCCCAAAAAAGAAGCAAAAAAAGAAAGGCCTTGCAATGTTTACATAATAAAGGTGATAATATGAGAACATTAAAAATAACAGCAACCTTTAGATTAATCTTATAGAGGTACTTTTTATGCAAGAACAAGGTGAACTATTTGTCCTCTACATTTTAAAATTGAGAATATATGCTTACTTTGAACATCTTGTGTTGGCTTCATTGATGTGAACAACAACAAAGTGTCACATATTTGTTTTCTCACATCAGAACTTGGAATTCTCATCAGATAGCCTGGAGGAAAACAAAAACAAAAATAAATCAGAATGCATTACCAACATCTACCTACAAACAATGAGATTAGATACAAATATGTTCAGTTACTTGCCCAACTGAGCTGATAAAAAATAGCAGGTATACTATTATGCACATATCAACAAAACTTATAAAACCCCTTCTTTTTTCATCTCTCCATTTTTCCAATCATGACATACTGATTCTTGAGCAGAAAACTAACACCACAGAAAAAGACTGAAATGCGACAAGTACTCACCTAGTTGTGAAATTGATTCAACAACAATTTGCTCATACACAAGTTCATCGGATGATTTTTCCATCAGAAATGGAAAACTGCAGAGCTTCAGGATTTCTATGATTGGCTGTTCATAGATGGGGTTTGAATCAACACGATCAGCACAGACATTCAAGATCTTGAAGACCATCACTAGGTCTTTCATTGGCTAAAATTTAGTTAAGGAAAAAGAATACACAACAATGTTAACAAAACAGAAATAAGCACACACATAAAGTATGCACAAACGTAGGCATACGTGATATATAATGCCTTACACAAATATAACAATAATGCACACCCAGATCACAAATCCTAGCAATAAACAAAATCAATCGGCCCAAAACTGAGTTTTAAGAATTTCCTTAACCTCAGTAGACCATTAAGTTTGTTTCTAAATTAGCTACTTATATTACATTGTAACTCCCAATTTTAAAGGATACGAAGCCTTTGTTGTAATGACGTGCCATCCTTGTCAGTGCATGAACATGTCTTTCATATAACATCATCTGTAACATAAAAAAAAGAGAACCAAATGGTATGAGCAGCACAAAAAATGTTTAAATTACTTAAACATCACTTCAAGAAAGTAGCAAAAATATTTTGAAAAAGGCAAATTTAGTTTTTGAAAGATAAAGAATTTCTTACAATTACAAGAAATCATCATCATCATAAACATCATCAGTAGCATAATCACCATGATCACCACAGTCTTCATCAGTATAAATAGCAGCAGCAGAAATAATAGTAAAAATAGCAGCAGCATCATCCACAGCAGAATGCAAACAACATCTTTGCATCACCTTCATCCATATCTTTTCTTATTCCTGACTGCAAACACTGTTTTTATCTTTGCGTTTCTTTGACTGATAAAAGAAAAAGAAAAGTCTTTGAATCGCATTTCTTTCCAACTGACTGATGACATTCTGCTCCTTAAAAGATAATATAAATTTTTGTTTATTTGCTCGCAGAAAACAGAAAAAAGCAGTACTTACTGAGTGTGGATCTGTCAGCAGCTTTATAACCCTTTTCAGGTTGACTTGCTGTAACTTTGACCCCTGTAAAAATATACATCTTTCCAGAAAAGCACAGAAGATAATGGAAATGAAAAAAAAATATCTATATTCTCTCTTCACTATAACTTTCCAAAAGATCAATCAGCCTATTGATGAATTTCTAATCAGACCCTCAAAGATAATGTCAGTATAGTATATATATCATGAGCACCCCTTTTAAATATAATTGGTAAACAAGACATCTTCTTCCCTCTATCCCTCACCCCCCCCCTCCTTCGGGCTGCCTTAAAAAAAAGATAAGTCCAAGTAGGAAAATAATCTGTCAACATAGAATTGACAAATTCAAAGACACATGTGTTCAATAACTATAAGAATGGGAAGGAGCTGGACAAATTTTTGGATAATGAAGGCAATCACTGGAAAATCTGAATATGAATTTTTATAAAAAGGTGAGATAATGATCCAAAAACACAGTCGGCCTATACAATCGCATCTTTTCAACCTCCCTTCCATAAACAATCTAACAAAGAAACAATTAAATCTTAACATACCCAACCCACCCCCTACTTCCTGAATGTGTAAATGTGTGGGTGTGAGTGTGTTGTGACAGTGAAGCATCACAGTCGTAACACAATTTAGTTGTTGAGGTGGTACAATTTATTATAGTTGTTACTTTTTTCTCACTATAGCAGGGTTTTGTTTGTGAACTAAAAACTTCACATGGTTGACAAAGGTAAGCACTGTAATTTTGGAAGAAGGAGTTCCACAGCGGGCAGGCTGACCAACAACACACTAAAGAGAGGATATTTTGAACGGGGTATACAAAAAAGTTGGGTTCAGTATTTTGCACCCCCCCCCCCCCCCGTTGGCATTTTATTTTTTTTGCACCCCCCCTCCTTCCAAAACAGAAGTCCAATATTCTCAATAGTCGACAGAAGAAGGTAATGGCGGATTCCACATGACTTGAATTTGTCCTTGACTGGAGCTGTCAAATGTGCTTTGCTCTAGAAAGTTAGCCTACCTAGTCGTCAAAATTTACCACAATGTAAGTCATCAATTGGATTCTCTAAGTGCACCAACTCTAGTATAGAATGCTCAGTAGACCTAGCCATGGAAGTGCCCGCCCTAGGCGGAACTCCTCACTTAATTTTTAGAAAATGAGTTCTCAAAACAACAAAATATGATTTAAATTTAATTTTAAACAAGGCGTGAACTGTAGTTAAGACTGACAAAACCATCATAAAAAAAAAAATGACATGACCTAGAGCACATACCATGAAATGCTCCACAATCAAAATAAAGCAGGTTGGTGGATATGTTTAGACTGAGAAAGAGAAAATGTTTCAAAATTCTTTTTGCGCTCTAGATTCTAGATCTAGATACCTAGATATCTAGATCTAGATTATATTACCTCAACTATGCCCAAATCATCGTCAGTAATGATGTGTGTAACCAAAGGTATTCTGGCTTTGTCGGGCTCAAGGCTACTCTGAAGCCTCTTGGACTGTCCAACCGTTTGTACAACAGCCATGATGATATCCGAGCTCACTCACAAAAATTGAAGGATAATATAAAGAAATCTCTGCCTCTTGTAAGGAGCAGAGCAGACCGATGTAAACGAAACTACATTCTACTAAACAGAGACGGCCATGATGAAAACAATCACTAAGGAAGCAGTAGTTGCCTTGTGGGAATGTTTTCGGCCTTGATCCGAGTATGGTAGTCATTTTTTATAGTCCTAAAAGAAACGGTCCATTGCGTTCAGTACGTATAGTGTCATGTACAATATATATTTTTGTAGGAATGTAAATATGCATTGTACACAGAGCCCCATAAGTATTCATATCCGTAAATTCGTTATAAATATAGATCTAAGATGTAAAAAGTAAAGACGACAGAGATGAGAATATGATTTATTTTTGACCAATCAAGAAGCGAAATAATATTGGTACGAATTCCGTGTAATTTTCAAAACAATAACAGGAAGGAAAGTAAGAAAGTGAAAGTACAGTATTTGTTAGCAGAGAGGCAGATTTGAAATCCGACACAGGTTTGTTGTTATAATTTCTAAGTGACACAACAATTACAGGAAGGAAATAGAAAGTATAGCATTCTCATTCAGCGGAGGCAGATTTGAAATCCGACACGGATTTGCAGTTTGTAGAGGGCCTCATTTGTTTTGGTTTTTATATTTGTATCATCAGTCTTGAGTCATCAGTATCATCAGTCATGCCATTGAGCCCAGTATTTTCAATAAATCACCACAACTCTCAGAATTACCCCATTGTAATTATTTTTTTTACACAGTAAAGTAACATTCAAGCTTAATCTAACACAAAAAACTAAATTTGTGTAGATCTAAGTCTAATACTTAAATTTTTATATGATTTAAAAGAAGGAGAAGGCCAGAAGGCCACCTCTCTTCTCACCCGGAGTGAGAATAGTGCAGGCGAGTCTTGTGGCTATTCTCACCCGGTGCGCGTTCACCAAATTTTGCGTTCACCCTAAACCACAGAATTCTACACTGTGATAACAGAAAAATTGTAGAATTCTGTGCCGTGAACAAACGTTCCATTACAACTGTAGCCTACTAAAAGCGTACAATTTTGTCTGTGGGCAGTGGAGAGAGAGAGAGAAAGAGAGAGAGGAGTAGTGCGAGAATTTCCGGGCAAAACAAAATGGCGACCCGCGTAGTTGGGCTCGATTCGAAAAGTTAAATAGCCGTAGCATCTTTGTAGACAACCAAATTAATTTACTTTTGTGTTTTAACATCATTTTTTAACTTTGTTTTGGTCAATTTGATCGTCCACACCGATAGACAGTATTTAGAAAGAGACAGAGAGAGAGAGAAGAGGGGAGGAGTTGATCTTGCGAGAACTTCCGGGCGGGTGAGAATAGCCACTTTCTTAAAAAAAATTGGCACAAATTTGATTTTCCGAAAAATTTCCAGAGACATGACAGGTAGATCTAGATTGTAGATCTAGATAGATCTAGAATGAAATTCACAACAAAAATAAAAGTTCAAAGTGTTGTATTTTGATTTGTGTGCATGTGTGAGTGTTTGGTGAAAGTATAAAAGCTGGTCTGTGTGTTGATTCAGACCCATGCACTGAATTACATGAGACAGATGTACGGCACGATGTTGTGATTTCGTTGCGCGAACAACAACACCAGTACTAGTGCTAGAGATCTAGCCCTAAAACTACGACTCAGGCCGTGTTCGGGTACATATCCTGGATCCCAACTATCAGACACATCATATTCTCAGACACTAGAACTAGATCTAGTAAAACGTACAGAAGTATCGAAAACGGCGAAATTATGTGATTCTTGTTCATGCGACTTCTTCGACCGTTTCTACGACGCGACAGTCGGATTACTATCAGCTGTATAGAAATAAGCAAAGCGCGAGTTCCAGTCAGTTCAACCCCAGTTGGGGTCACTGTCCTTCACCTCCAATAACTTAAAAACTCTGGGTCCCAGAAATACGAAACGAAGTCTAAGTAGCTCAGGCTTGGCCAAACAAGGGTACGAGGCGGGTCCCGCGATCGTGTGTGATTTGTAGAGCGGAAAAAAAATTCCAAAGTTGGTCACGCAGGGCTTGTGGGAGCCGTCGCGGCGGGGGTCACGCAACTGTTGTGTGAACCGTCTGAAGTGAGTTAAATGCAAAATTGTTCGGTTAACCGATGAAATTGACCAAGCAAAATTTTCTCGACCAAGAAATCTAGATCGAGCTGAGGTCAAAAGTTATCGCCTGCGCTGTAGCAGGCATTTTTCAGCTGATGTCTGGATCTAAAAATAGCTTTGGTCTTCGCCGCTCCGTGCGGTATAAAAATAGGAGTCAAGTAGATCTAGATCTAGATCTAAAACTAGAAGATGCGTGCAAAGTTAGTTCATATGTTTAACATATTTATTTGCTCCTTTCGGTTCGGGAAAATTGGAGAATACCTGACCACTCGTATTATTGCGAGAGAATGGGGGGCTGAGGAAGGGATTGGGGTCTCCCCCCTGACAAACATTTAAAGAATAGATCTAAACTAGGCCTACCAGAGTGAGAGAGATTAAAAATTAATAAAAACGGGAAAGTCATGAATTGTTGTCGAAATATATGCAAGAGTAGTCCTATTCCGCTGGTCCTGTAGGCCTATTCTTCAATCTTACCTCCTTTCTTTTTGTTTCTTCGCTCTGTTTCCAGCCAAGATCGAGCATATTTTATGAATAGGTTAGGCAAATTCATTGTGCTGGTATTTATTCAATGTGTTATTCAATAAAAGTAAAGATCTAGGCACAGAAAAAAAAATCTGCACAGTAATACAGAATAACAAGTAGCAGATCAAAGTCGAAGTGTTGAAATTAAGTAAAAAGAGGAAAGCATTCAAATTACTAAGATTGAGAATGTGAACAAGTCTAGATCGGACGAAATATTCTGGCTTAAGAGGTCAAAATGAGAGCAGAGAGAAATGAAGAGGAACTGAAATAAATGTGCTTTTCTTTTTCATGTATAGGTGACGAAGGAAGTTTCAGAGGTAGCAGGATCCTACTGCTCTTTGGCACAGCACAATATGATTTTGTCAGCTAAGGATGCCTTAGTTTTGGCAAGGAACAGGTATTTATAAGATCAAGGCAAGACCCTCAATTAACTTTAAAAAGTAACCCCCCCCCCAGCTTTTTTTGTTGTTGCAAGTTTAGAATTTGAGTCAGAAAGGAAAGTTAAGAAAAGAATAAATTCATTTTTTTTTTGCTCTGTGTTATGAGTTAGAATAATTATGGCTTTTACGTACGTCCATTGTGTGGAGTTTCGAGTTTTTCACAACTCTTTAAATGACAGTAGTAGTTTTCTTTACTTTTCTTCATCCATGTTTACCAGATGAATTTGTTTTTAGGCCTATTTATTAAAAATAATTATTTATTAAATTCAAATCAGTTTGAAATTGATGTCATAATACTTTGACAGTAATGTAATAACGTCTGTTTTTTCTTGAAGGGACAAGCTGCCAAAGAAAGTTTTTGTGACTTTGACTGGCACAGTTACAGCACAGAGTGAAATAATAAGGTAATATGATACTTTGTGAGTTTATGAACTGAAATACAGTCAAACCTGTGTAAGACGGCCACCCATTATCAAGGAGAAAAGTGGCCGTATAAGACAGGTGGCCGTCTTTGGCAGGACTGATCAAAATGAAAAAAACAAACCCCATTTCCAATCGAAAGTAGCGGCATTATTGTTGTTTTTGTTGCATTTTGTTTGTTATTTTTATTCTGTTGCTGATTTTGTGCAAGGGTGACAATAAAACGAAATGTGTCAGACAAGGAGGACCGATTGCTATGGTAAAACAAACATATTATGGGTCGCCACCACTCGAAGAACGAGTGACGCTTCTGTCACAAGTCCATGTTGACGTCCATTGTTACTTCGTTACAGACTGGGTAAAACAGTGACCACTCATCTCACTGACGATTTGTGTTTGAGTTCTGGGCGGGGCTTATTGGTTATGAGGGATCACACGTTTCCCTCACCAACAGCTGGAAATTGGTAGCTATTGGTCAACAGTGAGGGGGGCCTACGCAACATGATGGGTTGGAGGGACTATCTAACAACAACAACAGGTGATTAGATTATGACGGCTCGCCCACAACGCCAGGGGTCAATGCACAATTAATGACAAAATGTAATGGAGTCACTAAGACGGCCGTCTAAGACAGGTGTTATTGCTTAGTGTGATAGGGGTTGTGTGTTAAAATATGGTGGCCGCGACCGCGTTGGACAGGTGCCCGTTTTACACAGTTAAATTATATAGAAAAAACGCAAGGGGGGGAAATGGAAAGTGGCCGTTTGTACAGGTGACCGTCTTATAGAGGTGGCCGTCAGGGCAGGTTCGACTGTATTTAATGAGAGCTTGTACTGGTAATACTCCTGTTAATATAACTTTTATTTATCTCTAGATTGTTCTTTGTTTCCATCATTTGTTTGAGAGACTTACAATTTCAGAAGTGTAGAGGATTTTCGGTGCATAGACGTTTGTTCCTAAACAAAAATCATTGCACTTTTTGAGGTTTGAAGTGGTTGTTTTTCATTTCTTATTTTGACATTGCCAATTGTGATTGCATATATAATATAAATTTCTTCTCTTGTGTCATATGATTCATCAAATGTTGCTCCTCCCCCACGAGTTTAATGTTGCAGGTAGCCTATAGTTACTGGGCATGCAGAGTTTAGTACTTTGTGGTCAACTGTCCGCACAGATTGGAAGCATATAAAATTTGTGTCAAAACATTTCAGTCGTTATTTAGAGTTTTGTGTTGAAAATTTGAATAGTATTCCAATTTGGGATTTGTTTTTGCAGGATGAAGCCTGGCTATCTGTTCATCATTGAAGTAGAACAAAAACTTACCATTCTTGTGAAGGTAATGTGTTTGGAGAAATGAAGACTTACCTCTTTATGATATTGTTTGTTTGCCTATCTCTTCATGCTTCTTTTTGGAAGTTTTGTAACATATTGTATATCTATAGCAGTGTTTCAGAAGTTGCGAAGTGACTGTTTGAGATTTGATTAAAAACACTTTTGTGCATCACGTACATAAAAGAGAAGTAGAAGAGATTCGTACAGACTAAGGCACCCGTGATTAATCAAATATCATCTGGGAATAAGTTTTTTTAATCACACCGCATTGTTCTTTTCACAGAAGGACAGGATAAAAATTTTAAAAAAGAGCATTAGGTTTAGTCATCGACAAAGTTATTAAAATGTGCCATTGTTAAAGGTTTTATGCTGATTTCTTAGCTTTAGGATTTGTAAGCTAATTTGTATTAATGTCTTGAAGTTTTCTAGAACGAAACACTTTCATTTGATAGTCTTTCTATTGAACAAGAAGACTAGCTTTTTGTTGCTCTAAAAACTTTGTGCCACTTATCTTAAATCCTATTTGTGTTCTTAATGAAATTATGTTGATTTCGTATAAAATGTATTTGCTATAAGAAACTTTGTGCAACTCCTATTATGCTGTTCTCAAAGCTTTAATTATGAGATTTTGAGTAATCTGCAAAATTACTAAATTTCTGTTTTCAAATACTATGCAGGAATGTGTCTCGACATGGTTTCAAGGCATCATACCTACAAAATCCTATGTTTTCAAGGACCTTCGTCTTACCACACTGAAAAAGGTATCTATCATTTTCAGGAAAAAATATGCTTTTAAAGGGTGTCTATGAATGAGAATGAATGTGAGATGAAGTTTATAAGGAGAGTAATATTTGGTCCATTTTTATTGCTTTAAAAAAATAAAGTCAAAAATATTTCTTTCCTTTTCTTTTAAAGAGGTCTAAAAAGGAGGGGAAATAGTGTTTAATTTTTGGGGTTTTTTTTTGTCTCGCAGGCATTGTGGTTGTGAATTTAAATATACAGTCAGACTTGTCTAAAATGGCCACCCATTGTCAAGGAGAAAAGTGGCCGTACAACACAGGGGGCCATCTTAGGCAGGACTGATCAAAATGCAGAAAGCAAACCATTCCTTTCTGAGGTTCAAACCAGGGCTGATTTCTGGCTGCGGACTGCTGTAAGGCTAATTCAAAAGGGTTTTTGTCTTCTTTTGAAAAGGGGGGGGAGGGGGAGGGTGTAAGAAGGTTTTTTAAATTGTTGTTGCTGTTGTTGGTTTGTTTTTTGGTAAGCTTTTTTTGTTGCTGGTTTTGTGCAAGGGTAAAATAAAATAAACATATAAGATGATGAAGACCGAGTGCCATGGTGCAACAAACACTGGGTCGCTCGCCCCCACTCAGAGAACAAGCGACGTTTCTGTCGCAAGTTCACATTTACGTCCATTGTTGCATTGGTATAGACCAGTCACCTCTCATATGATTTGTGTATGAATTGTAGGTGGGCTTATAGGTTATGTTTGATCACACGCTTCCCTCAGCAGCAGTTGAAAACTTAATGTTACTCATTGGTCAACTTGGGTAACTATTCATTGAAGGGACTAACAATAGCAACAAGTGAGTGGATTAGGACGGCCCATCCACAGCACCAGGGGCCAATTCAAAATTTTATGATAAAGCATCGCGGGCGGTGAGAGACCAAGTGGGGCCGTCTCGGGTAGATAAATTTTGCCATGGGTTGATAAAATAAGATGGCCCCAGCCAGGTTGGACAGGTGACCGTTTTACACAGTTAAATTATATAGCAAAACGCAAGGGGGGAAATGGAAAGTGTCTGTTTGTACATGGCCGTCATGGCAGGTTCGACTGTATTTGGGTGGTTTTGAGAGTAATAAAGGATGAAAATGGATCTCCATTGAACAGTGTATTTCCTTTTTTATAATTATTTATTACAACTGATGGCAAAATAATTACATGTGTATGAATTAACATGATTCTCCTTCTTTCTTGTCTTCTCTTTCTTTCATATATATGTACGTACCACACATGCCCACACCCATATGCAGACACGCACATACATTTTATCGGTAATAAATTAAGACGTTCTCCATAAATTTTTTTTTCAATAATTGCTTTTTCAGGGTGTTGCTTCTCCATGCCCTGTGTTTGCAGTACAGGGAGTAAGTTCTTTCTGTGAAGCTGACAGTGTTGAGAAATTCGACACAGTGTCACTCGAGGTAAAATTAAGTCAAAGATAAAAATATGTAGTGAGTTTTGTTTTTCACTTTTTAAGACATATGCAATGGTTTTTAAAATACATTTTGAAAAGAGGAGCTGAGAGAGTAGATTTTTTGGTGCCTTTCACCACAAATTTTGTCCTTTGCAAAGTGAGGAAAACAGTTCCCTACTTTTCACTGTTTTTGACATGGGAGAAATAGGTGGATTGATGCTATCCTTTACAAGCCAATCATCCTGATAGCTTTAGTGTAGATAATATAGGTTATGTATTGATTTGCCACATTATTCTCCTGTGAATTATTTGGACTGTCAACTGTTTCTTCCTAGAGATATTAACAAACATTCATTGATGTATTGTTTTGTTACCTAACCACCCTTAGTTTCTCATGTCATCCTCTCAATGGCTTTGCTAGATTATTATCAACAAACTGTCTTAAAGCTGTTTTCTCTGCACAGCTGAGTTGGTGATGAGGTGGCATAATCTGTTAACCTTGACTGATGTGTTGTTTTTGGCTTTTAAGTCAGGACCATGAATTATTTCCTTTTTTTGAAAAAGAATTACAAAATGTATTTCTAAGTATATCTCATTTGAAAACATCATCATCAGCAAATGGAGCCAGAAAAGTTCAGAAAATGTCAAATTACTTTAACCCTATCTGTACGTCTTGTTTTACTATCGTATCCATACGACGTGGGGAACTCTGTGCCACCACTTTCCGAAAAGGAAATTTACTTGTTAATCTGATCCGTACGCTTTGCAATGAAGTCTGTCAAAATGATTTTTTGAGAAATACTGAAAGTTTCAAAGAAATCCTTGGACTAGAAGTATTCTAAAATGTGAAGAATACAACCCTGGGGATACAATATGACCCCAGGGCATACGGATAGGGTTAAAGTCTTTTCGATTTGATTTTTGCACAGGAATGGCTTCAAGGTACATGTCCGGGGCAGCAAGTCTCTTTTGATGATCAGATTTGCAGTGATGAGCCAGAACACCTTGCTGCTGACCTTGTGAGCTACCAGGTAGTTAACATTTTGTTTTAGCTTTATACCTTCTAATGCTGAAAACTAAATTTGGAATGTTATTCTAAATTTTCTAGGCGGCTTAAATAATCGAGAAATTACATTTTCATTAGAATTGTCACCAATACTTTCATACTGCAGCATACTAATAGAAGGCACTGTTTTGCTACTGCAGAGGATAGTCTTTGTGCTGTACTGGCTTGCACTTTATGTTCTGTTATGATGGTGTATGTAGCTTATTAGGCCTGTGCTTGTCAGAAATTCCTGCTTGCGAGGAATGAATTGATTTGATGCTCAGCTCTATTTTGTAGTGTTTCGTGTCTGAGATTCTGAACATACTTTTGCTTTTGTGTCTTTGTTGTGGTGTTGGGGGCCTAGTGGTTAGGCTACTGGACTCATAATCGTGAGGTTGCAGGTTCAGAAGTTCGAGCTGCGGGCCCAACATTGTGTCCTTGGGAAAGGCACTTTACACAGATTTTTTTCACTTCACCCACGTGGGAATGAGTACCCGGCCATAGACTGAAAGATCTTGTCAGGTTGTTAATGTTTTAGCACCTATAAATGACCGTTTGCACTGTATGCTTCCTCTGGCTGGCCTGTGTTAGGAGGGCGGCAGTCTGCTGCAGGCAGACAGGTAGGAGGCAACCTTGTGTGGCCTCGTCCAGAGTACATCCAGGTTTGGTCTCGCGTTGTTCTCTATAAGTGGGCCTTGATGTGCATTCCCCCGTGAGCACTTGTACAGTGCATGCTGCAGGTCTTCAGGACTGCCAGACAGGAATCATTGGGAGTGGAGCCTATTGCATGGAGGTATGCCTGCAGGATGGCGCTCTTCATGTTGCAACTTAGCTGTGATATCACTCTTCTCTGTCAGATGGTTAGGTTTTTCTCTTTGTCCCTCTTCAGTGGTGGCTTCACTTTTCCCCCTCGGAGTCGTGCACTCGCGCTTTCTCTCACGTGTGGGTAATGATGTAATGCGAGATGCACGAGCTCGCTGAAGCGAGATCGACTGAAGTGCAGGACTGGTCGAGGCGGCCTCCCTTGTTGGCCAGGGCGTCAGCTCGGTTTTTCCCGTGGATGTCACAATGTCCCGGTGTCCATTGTATGTGTAGGTGTCTGTGGATTTCACAGCAGTGGCAGATAGTGGTCCACATTTTGTGCACCATCTCAGTTCGAACTGCAGTCACTCCGGACATTAAGTGTTGAACAAGTGACTGGGAGTCTGTGAAGATGTGGATTCTTTGAAAACGTGGTTGTTTTTCGAGCCATTGCAGCGTGCAGAGCAGGGCGGTAGTTTCAGCTCGGTAGCTGGGTCCGTATAGTCCCGCTGGCACGGATACGCATGTTTCCTCCCCAGAAGATTTGTGTCGAGACCAGTATTCTCCTCCACATAACCTATAGACGTCAGTGGCATGGCCGTCAGTGAAGATATCTAGGTCGGACGTAGGTAATCGGCGCACGGTCTCGAAAGCTGCTGCATGTCAGATATTAAGTGGATCTGTTTTTGTCGTAGACACTGCAAGTTTGAAGTTGATTGTGAGGTTGCAGGGGGTCTTCCACGGGGGAGTTGTACTCACTGGCCATAAGGGCTCTTTGATTAGATGTTCTAGTCCCACGTTATTAGAGCTCTGTCGAGCCACTTCCCTCCAACTGTTGATGGACTTTAAGCGTATTTTTGATGTTCTTTCTGTATCAAAAAGTTGAGGTTGTTTCAGAATGCTCTCAGATCTGCTGGGGTAATAGTATAGATTGTTAAGTGCATAGAGCTTGCTGTTGAGCGGGGATTTACTTCCATTTCTTGTCTGTTTTCAAGTTCTTAAGTAATTATGAAGAGATTTGCCTTTCTTCTTCTTTCCATTTCCTTGTTCTCTGTAAAAATGGTCATTGTATTCTTTTATCTTCCGTGTGACAACGTCCCTTCTATTTGTGCCAGTGCTGCTGTGCTGCTTGTGCTATAAAAGTATACGCTACAACATTATAAACTGTTGTAATCTTTTTTGAAACAAATTTCATCATGTGATGGAAGACTTACAAAAGCTGTACAATGAAGCCTATCTGTGTTTTTCACCATTAAGTACAGAGACATGTTTATAAATTCTTGAATTGACCAACTTTTCATGGTTGTCAAGCAAAAAATTAAAGTCAGCGTTTCTTGAGTTTTAATAGATAATATCTTGTGTATAAAGTTGTTCATAATATTTTGCTTTCTTTGAAGTTTGTAAACAATTTTGTTTAAGGGTCGCATTTCATCAGTTCATGATGCGAAGTATGGCATATACGGCCTGGATGACAAAATCAAGTAAGTGACAAGTTTTTATTAGTCATCTTTTAAAGTACTCAATACCAGTTGTTCAAAGTTAAAAGTGATTTCTGAAATGCAGTAAAGAACATTTTTGGAAAAAAATAAGGCTTCTCACAAAGTAGGCAAAAGAATTTGTTTTGTGTGAACATTTATTTTCCAATGACTAGTGTGAAGTGGTAGATTATGAAGTTCATTAGTTTTTTTGTTTTTTTTCACATATTGACTTGATGGGTACAGATCTCTTTGGTATAAATATCAATCTTTCGGATCATGCTAACTAGTTTTTGTTTTATAAGTGATGTAAGTGTCTTTTTCTTTAGCTCACCCACCACCCTTCAATACAGGATTTGCAAGGATACCATTCACTGTTTTAAAAAGGCAAAACTTGAAAAAGTTCATTTGGTAATGTTCTATGAAGTGGATGTGTTTGCTTTTAAAAGAGTTTCAAAAATTTCTTTTCAATACCAGATTGGTCTTGTACACAATCACCAACCGGCACATTGGGTGTGAACTGGTACTGAACGATGAAGTCACAATTTACAACGCACATCTGATCAAGGTTGGTGGTCATAGTTACTTATCATTGTTTTCCTCTATCTGACACTTTAAGGTGTGGCCATTCTCTATGTTTCTAGGCAAATGTGAGCAGATAAAGAAAATGTCGAGAACCTTTCACAACTGAATGAAATGAACAATCCTGGAATGCTAACAGAGAACATGCGCTTAAATATGGATTGACTGGTTTTAGGAATAATTTTCTGTGTTCTACTCGTTCCCTTTGTCTATGTTCATCCGCTGATATTAAGTATGGCAATACCTCTACACTTGAACCAAGCATGGCTTGATGAGAGATTTACAGCAAAATGCAAAGTGCAAGAGACCTGAATGAAAGACAATAGTTTTCTTTACCAACTATTGTAGGTGTCAGAAAAAGAATGTAGACAATTTTAAAAAGTGTGCGATTTCTGAAAGACAATCACTTATAAAATTCTCTTTCATTTAGCACATGCTGATCTGTTAATGCTTTGATATTTTCAGTATGTGTGATGTGTAGTCCTGTTATGTTCCAGCAGAGGAAACACTCTCCCTCCTAAATGATCTAGACTGTTTCAGTTGGGTGTAAATGTTTACCATTACTCCCCCCCCCTCCCCCCTCCCCTGAGTAAGTTTCCTTCTCTTGAATGGATTAGTTACATTATCCTCATCTGTCTATTTGTCTGGGGATGTGATTAGTTTTATATCTAAAACCCCCAGAAATTTTCTGCATAGGAGATATTGTGAGCAAAAGTTTTTTTTATATACTCTATTACTTCACTAGGAACGTCATCAAATCACCTTGGTATGTTGTGTCAAAAGCTGCATAAAAATCAACAGTTTGTCCAGTGGATCTTCCCACTCTGACCAAGAGACAAGCAGAAAGGTAAGATGCAACATTGATGTTGTACTTGGTAAACATATATAGCTATATACTCTGTTCCTGATTTCAACCAAATTTTTAAACTTGTTTAAGTTGAAATTCCATAAAGTTGGGAGGAGATGAGTTTTAGACAGATTTATATCAAGCAAGCTGACTACGAACATATTTTTCGCACTTTCTTTAGTAAAAATGATTCTTGCCAAACAAAGATCATTTATGTTTCAAAACTTTGTTGACCCTTTTTGGAAATTGGTGTAACAATAAGGTCCAACCTTGAAGTCACCATGTATAATGCATCATTTTTTTTGCTTTACAAACGGCTCATCTATTCTCTTTGTCTTTAGGATCCAATGAAAGAAGACAAATCGACCAAAAGCTATGACCTGACAGTATTTAGTTTAAATTTGAAAGAGACTGATACAGTAGCGCAGTTGAAGAAGGAACTCAGTCGAAAGGGCAGGTAAGGTGCAACATTTTATTTTGAAATAGTATATTATAATTAAAATGGGATTTTAATTTTTTTGTACAGTTTTTTTCAAATAGTAGATAAACTTTATTTTTCTCATTCCATTTCTCTCTAACAGTGCTCTGATGCTGATTGATAGTTCTTACCAAAGAAAGTGTGTTATTTATAGGAGCGGTACCAACAGTCTCTGTGTTCTTGCTGGAAGATATTTTTGGGAGAGTTTTAGAGGCGCGTCAGTGATAGGTCAAACAGAAATAAAGATACTAGGTTTTCTTAGACTATCAAATTAATTATAGGACTTGAGGCATGTAGACAGGCTATAGCCCTTGCAATCTTCTAGATATAGTATGAGAGGTGTACACCTATAAGAAATTTTGTGGATAATAAAACATATTTTTTTCAGTTTTCACAATGGTATATTCAGCTCTCTTGTGATTTCTTTACTCTTTTATCTTAGGTGCACTGATTCACAAGACAAGATTATTTCATGTTTCTTGAGAAGTGATCTCTGCCCTGGTGTACAAGAAGACAGGTTCACACCTTTAGATATTTTTATTCAGCAACATGACGTGGCATGTCCCTTTTTACCATCAAAGGTATTGAATTAAGTTCTTAAAAATAGACTTATCAATGCATCTTTGTTCTTTGAAGATTCCTTTTGCATTTGCATTACCAAAATCCATTAAGGAGTCCTTATATCAATGGTTAGGTTTTTTGTGAATGGAGATTCATAAAGATTTGAGGTGATGTCAGTGGGACAGTTTTTAGATAATGGGTTGACCTTGAATATGGCATTTCTACCCTTGTTAAGAAACAATATGTTGTATAGGATGAGCTTAAAATTGTTTTCCTTCATGCAGCATTTATGATAGCTCTGAGTTTTGTGATAGAGATACAAATCGCCATTCTTTCCTTAGTTGTGGTTCAAACAGTTTTTGGTATTTTGACACAACATCGTCCTAGCTTAAGCTAGGTTTTAATTCTGAAGCCTTATGACACTTGACTGTGAAAAATTTGATTCGCACATTGTCAACCACCTGTCTTCCTTTTCACCTGTCTCTTACACCTCTGTATTTTTCCTGCAAGTTTCATTTAGTCTCACTGTGTGTCACATTAGATTGTGTTGTTGGAAACTGTTGTAACCCATGTTCTTGCTCATCATCCAGGCTCATTTTATCACTAGTCCTTTGTTATGACTGTGAGTAAGTTCTGTGTTTCTGCCAAAACCTTAGTGCAGTTTTTGTTTAACAAAAGAGCATAGCAAAATCATTAGCTTCATTTACATATAGGTTGATGAGCCTCTCAGCTGAAAAAGCTCTTTACGTTAATTGTTTTGTTAGGTCCAAGTTTTTAGGGAAATTTACTCAAAGAAAATATTGAGACAAAATGAAAATTGTAGAGTCTGTTGGAGGAATTCTACTTTTTGAGTTACTCATGTTGTAATTGTGTGCTCTGCTATATAGACAAAGCTGTGGGGACCATTGAAATGGATGGGCAAAAAAATGAGTGATGTCTGGGTTTTTTTTTTAACCTTAAAGTCATTGTTGCTGCATTTGTTTTCACTTTCCTGCTTTCAATGATTTCATACAGAAGGATCTATACAGGCTTCCAGAGATCTTGGAGCTTGCTAGTGAAGTGGAAAAGATAAGTACCCAGAGAAAGTATCTTGCACCTGAAGAAAGCAGCAGCAAAAAATCTTCACATTTGAGAGATACTGCCTCGGTTAGCAGAGTTCACAGTTATGAAGAAAATGAGGTAACTTTTTAAGGTCAAAATAAATTTTAGTTTGTGTATTGCCTTGATGTCATTTTTGAAAGAAACTTTTAACTTATTTTAACCCCTTGACCTATGAGGTTGTATCTATATACAGACTTTTGGACGGAAACGAGGGGTTCTATAACTGAACACAAAATGAGGTGTGTTGTTTATCTTATGTACATCGTGCTGTGAGACGGTCAGACCCGGCTTGTAAACTCGGAACGCTTGTCTTAAGACATTACACTCATTTACATTGTTATGGCTTATTCTACCCGTCTATGGATAAAACCATCTCTTTCTTTCTCTTTTTATTGATATAGTTTGACAAGAAGTGTGAGCTTTATTACCGATAAAACAAAGTGAGGTGTGTTGTCTTTCTCACACACACCATGTGAGACAAAGCCAACGCGTAGAATCGGAGTGATTGTTCGTCTTAGTATTTTCCAATTGTTTACATTGTTATGGCTTGAGCTATGCAGGTCTTGTCAATGAATGAGTTCATCTCATCATTTATCTTTTATTGGCATCAATTTTAGCGATCTGTCTCTCATAATAAGCGAACAACTGCCGGTTAAAGATTGTGACCTGTGACATCTTGCGCACATTAGAATTTTCTCTAGCATGTTGGGTGCATTTTTGTTCTTCTGTTTTTTTTGTTATCTTTGGTACCAGCAAGTTCAGGGCTTGGGAGTTGAGAAAGCACTTTATTTCTTTTTTGAGTTAGGCAAGTGCATTTTATTTTTTATGAGGTTTACATTCAACTATTTTTTGTACGCGCCTCTTCTTTTGCATTGTCAAAAGCTTGTGGTTTTTTTATAGTTATCTTGGAATCTAAGGTCTGATTTTTTTTAGTGCAGGAAATTTTTTTGCTTTTTGTAGTTGTGTCTTTAGTTATTACAATTTAATAATATTGGTGAATGAAAGCAGATATTTAAGTGTCTGTACTTGAGATATACTCCCTTCTGTAATATTTTGACTAGTGTAAACAGTTGATAAGAATTGTTCAGTCTTGTTTTATTAATAGAAATAAGTTTGTCAGACCAGACTTTGGCAATGCCAGATCATTGTTTCTGTTTTAAGAAAATACTCATAGTTTCCTTTTCTCTTGATTTCTGTCATCCTCAGGTTTTCTTTGGCTCAATATCTGGCTCTGCCTCAGGACCTGCATTGTTCAGCGATGGTCACAAGTCTCTGCCCGTCGTTCTCCTACTTCAAAATGTTCTTAGGGATACTCAGAGTGCTGTGAAAGACTTGTCCACGGACAGTTGGAATCAAGTGAACATTGAGGGGCACTTAGGGAAGATACACACATGCTCACATAGGTGCTATCTGTCTCTTGAACCTAAAAATATGATCAGATGTCCCATTCTCAGTTCAGGCATAGCTGGAAAACTGATATGTGTGAAAAACTGTATTCTTGTGGTGGAAGAACCTGGGGGGACCTTCGTAAATCCGGCACATGCCAGAGGACAGGAAGGCAAACCTTCCTCTTTTGTGTACATCGCCTTTTGTTTGTTGGACTGTGCTTTGGTGGAAAAGATGTCGGAGAACATTGCAGAGAAAAAATGGTTACCTCTACAGTCCAAAGAAGCAGCCCTGTCAGAATGGCTCTTTGAGGAGGAGAACTCTGTTTCATGTGTTCTGTATGTGTCAAAGAAATTGCCATTAGTAGTGGATGAAGAGAGAAAGGGTAATAGAGAACAGTTTGTTTTCAAACTAGAAGGCTGTTTGTTTAAACCTGTGACTGGTAAGAGGAAACTAGAAGCGTCTTCTGATAAAAAAGTCGCCCTTTCTGCTCAGAGGTCTGTCACATTTTGTCTCTCAAAGAAGGCTTCACGGTGGCATAGTTTTATCTCTTCTGGAGAGATGTATAGACTTTCTGCTCCTAAATCTCAAAATGGAAACTGTGCAGATTTTCAATCCACCTTTTTAAGTAAGGAACATGAAAAAGGAATGCGTATGCACAATGTGACATTGGAAATTGCAGTTTCCTCAGCAGTTAACCTGGTCAGGATCAACCCAGGATCCTGGCACTTGGACAAAAGTGTTATGAAGTTTCCAGAATTTGCAACGGTTTCGCAGGTTCAGGTTGGGTAAGTATAGTGTGTGTTTGGGAGAGGACTTACATGTGACTCCTGTGTACTGAAACAAATGATTATAAGTTTTTAAGTATACATTCGAATCTTCCCTAATGACCACCTGTCCAAGACAACCACTGTACAAACGACCACTTCCCACTCCCCTATTTGTAATTTTTCTGTATCACAGTGACACTTTCCAAGAGAACCACCTGTCTAAGACGGACCACTTTTTTCCTTGACAATGGCTAGTCGTCATGAAAAGGTTTGACTATATTTGTAGTAATAAAATCATACTTATTGCTGATTAGGTCCTTTGTCTTTTTCCTTTTTTTTTTTTGATGACAACTACAGGATGTAAAAATGGAAGTTCTCTGTGACAGGTTTGTTAGGAAACAGAAAGATCTCACATCTCATTGTTTACAGGAAACAAAAGGTGTGGTCATCCTTTGACTACTGTTGGCACGTTTGGCAGTCTTGTAACTTCTATAAAGTTGATGTTATCACTTTAAGAACTCTTCTTGGTTGATCTGACTCCGTGCTTTTTCTCTTGTAGTTTTGCTCTACAGTTGTTCTGTATGTTATTGTTGCTTATTCTTTTCTGTGATCCCTTTGGTACCTGAGGGATCACAGCTTTCGACTGTTCTTCTGAAATTCTCAAAATTGGCTCTTTCTTTCTCCTCTCCTTGCTAGTTTGCATTATATTGCAAAAAAAAAAAAGCTGGCAAAAGATTGATAACTATGTCTACTATTTTGCGCAAAAGCCTATATATGTTTAAAGTATACAGGAAGATCTTAAAATGGGGTTTTGATCCTCTTTTAAGGTCTTTGGAATATCTTGTATTCTTCATAGCAGTAAATAATTTGTGGGGGCTCTCGTGGCCTAGAGGTTAAGGTGTTGGCCTCTCATTCAAAGGTCCCGGGTAGCGACCGAAAAATTTTATTCTCTAAATTTGTCTCCTTTCACCTCATTTCCGGCTCTCTGGCAATGTTCTGTCATCTACATTCGTCTCCTCTTTCTACCCCCACCCCCTCACCTCCTTTGCCCCTTCCTCTGGGCTCCTGATTCTTTCTGCAGCCTTTCTACTGCTACTCCTTCGCTTCTTCTTACTGCTGTCTTTCAGCCACACCCCTGATCTTCTGGTAGGAAAGATCTACACCTAGCCTTCTCGGACATGGGCGAAAAATCTCGGAGGGCCCGTGTGCAAGTTGCGCTCGTTAAAGATCCCTTGGTGGTCTACAATCGATTAGAGTAGGCTTCGGCCGCCTCCAGGGCAAAATTCAAAATTTCCTACCAGCTGAAAATATTAGGTGTGTCCCGTGCGCTCATGTGACCATATGCAGTTGCGAGCGCCGTAAAACACTTACAAAAACAAAAAACAAAATAATTTGTTCCGTCCATATATGTCAGAGTGCTATAGTGATAGTCTAGTTACATATTTTAGTATGTTGCCTATGTTTTAATTGATTTTGTTCTTAAAGTGTGAGAATATAAATAGTTTCTTTGTAGTGATTGCCTTCCATGCGAAAGTAATCGAGTCAGTTCCTGGTTTGTGTGAGCATTGTCTGTGAATTAATGGGGTTTTTCTTATTTGTTTTTCATCCCTGATTCCAGAGTTGATGGCATTAAGTACCTAGCGTTCTGGGATATGGATGAAATATATGCTGGGCATGTTGAAAACTTCTCTTCAGTTGGATTTAAAGGAAAAGCAAATCTGACCTTGCTGGCTGCTTGGAAAAAATTCTCAATCTGTACTCAAAACGGAAGAAACTCTGGAAACATAAAAGATTAAGAGTATCTCCCAAGACAGAACACGGCTACCTGAAAGGCAAGGACACTATGTTGTAGCAGGGAAAATGTCTGTTTATGTAAAGATAAGTTGTGCTGAGGGAAGAGGAACCTATTTTTCACTACCCCTGAGGTCTTACATAGCAATGAAGATAAAGTTACATCCTCTCCACAGATTCCCACAGTCTGTTGTGTCATTTCTAGGAGTGATAATCAAGAAAGAATACATTGACCCTGGTTTTCAAGGTACAATATTTAACTTTCTCCAATTGTCACAATGATGTGCTTAGAAGAAGAAATGATAGAGGTCTTCGTTTTTTTCTTTCCGTTATTCCTTTCAACTATTTTGGTTTCATTCTAATTAATGATCACATGATTGAAGTCAGTTTGCAAAGTGCTGGACTTGTTTGTGCAGTGCAGGTTCAAATTAATTAATGAACATAGGATATTTTGGAGAGTTTAAAGGTTCCATACCCCTTACCATGAGAGAAGGATGTTCCATCTTTTAACTTTAAGATACTGAAATCTTTTACAATAGTCATATGCTGTGTTAAACAGCATGCATTACTTTTTGTTTCAAAGTTTTTTTCACACTTACATCACCAGGTATCCAATCATTTGTCTTCTGAATGCATTTGAATTTCAATTCTCTGTCAACAGAGCTTTGGATGTATCTTTGTCATAAGTGACACATTATCTCTTTAATGCATTGCAGTATGAAACTCAATTGTAAATGGACATTTGATTCTTTTACCGATTGATGCCAACATCCAATGAGCTTAGCATTAGCAGACAGGTGTCAAGTGTGGCTGTAATGTTTTCTGTGATAGCAAAGCAAGAGGAAAAATAACAGTTTATGAATCTGTAAATAAAAAAGTTGGAAAAAAAATGGAAACTTTATGGTGCGGATTTTACTCCAATGTTATTTCAAATGGATACTGCATTCTTTGATAATGCTATTTAAAACTATTATTTAATGTTCAGATTGTCTCCTTTTTTATTCTTTCTTAGATTTCAATGGCCCTGTCATAAAAAATGTCAAACTTGAGATAGTAGGCATTGACCTGAGATGTGATGGAACAAGTGGGGATGCTTCGCCTTTGAGTATCTATGTTGATGGCTGGAGAAAACCGTACATTGTTGGCCTTGTACCAGGTTTGGCAAATGGTTCTGTGCTTTTTTAGCATCCAAAGTTCTGATCACTTCGTGGCTTATTTTTATTTTGTTTCTTTAAGATTTTCTCTTGATGATATGTACTTTTGATACTGAATAACATTTTGTTTATGCATCAACTGGTATAAATGTTTTTCTGATATACTTTGTTCCTTGTTGGTCTGATTACAATTTACAATGTCAATTTCATTGTCTCCATCTTCATCCTTCTTGTCTTCCTACCCTGTTTTTTTTTCTAATTGTCATCATCATTGTGGTCATGGTTGATGTTATCATCATCATCATCATCATCATCATCATCATCATCATCATCATCATCATCATCATCATCATCATCATCACCGTCATCAGTGTTGAAAAGATGTAGAAAAATGAGACCTGAGTAGTTTAGTGATTTAAGTGCTCTCAGGAATGCCAGAAAAAGGAAAAGTCTATGTAATGTCACGTTTTGATATTTTTACAGGAGCTGTGGTTGAATTCATCCATCTTCAACGAAAAGTTTCAAAGAAAACAGGGAATGCATACTGTCGATTCCAAGATGTTTCGACTTTTAAAGTCATCACAATGCTGGACACTCCCATTATTGAGAGGTTAGCACTGTAGTTTTGTGGTGTTGTGCTATTTAGTTATATTATGGGGGGGGTCTCTTGATGTGGTTTTGTCCTTTTACTTCTTTTTAGTGTTGCTACTATATTTTCCCTTGTTTGGAAAGTTTGTTTTAAAATATAGCAAGGAGTTTTAAGACTTCTTAAGTGTGCTTAATGAGTTGAGGAGGGGAGATCAATCCATAATCTTCCAACTTAGAACACAACATGTACCCCTCAACCAACATCTCAACCGAATTGGAGTAAAGCAGTCTGCTGCCTGCCCACTATGTGACTACCCCTCAGAGACAGTGGAACATCATCTGTTTTTCTGTTGAAAACTAACTGATTTAAGGGGTTGTTTTCTTCCCAAGCTACCCCACACATCTAATTGCCTCTACTCCTTAAGACAACAATTAGAACAAACATGCAACTATTACCGAATGGCATCATGCAGAAGAGTTAACGCTCAGATGCTACTGGATCGCTAACAACAACAACAACAAGTGTGCTTTTACTACTAGTCTTTCCTTGCTTTTCTCTTATACTTCTTGCTTTTGCAAAATTTTGTGTTAAAAGTGGAAAGACAAATGTAAAAAAAAAATGCATTCTCTCTTTTTTCAGAGGATAATTGATTCCTTTTATCACATTTCTGCACAGAATTTTAAGTTCTTTAGAACACAGTTGGGAAGATTGCTTTGATACTGCTTCAAGAGAGCTCCTCATCAATTTGTGGACTGGTGACGTTCAAGATAAAAAAGCTGGACAGGAATGGCTCATTCAATGCCACATCGGCTTTGTGTTCAAACTGTCTATCAAGTGTGTGTGCCGTCGGTGCAAGGGCGTGTTCCACAGTGGCATGTGTCAGAGCCGAGGGTGTGGGAACGTGTCCATGTCCGAAATCGTTGCCAATGCAAGGTGAGAATACTAGAGTGCTACTGGTCTACATGCACAGAACATATGGAGACTTTGTGTTGTTGTCTAGTGTTGCATATTTTAGAAGGGATTTGTAATTAGTGGTCTTTCTTTTCGTCTTCCTCCTTGAGGTTTTGATCAAACCTTTGTTTGCAGCCAGGTTTTAATGCTGTGTCCGTCTATTATACTTTCTTCAATAGGTTATTTCAGTTTTTAGAAATGGAGAATGCAGACGATGCTTGCAATTTAAAAAAATTGAAATGGTTTTCAAAAGTGCCTAGATGTTTAATATGTAGGCACCACTGGTAGTTAGTGATTCTCAATGAATTTTGATAGCAAGTAAAAATAATGATGGCTTCCCTTCTCGACTTCAACATGTCTCAGTCTGTGCAGCGCATATCCTGTCATGCATGACATGACCATTTATGTGTTGATGTACTTACTCTCTGCACCAAAAATATGTTTTAGCCAAATTCAATTCCAGTGTTTTAGTGGATGACGGATCATGCCAGGCCTGTGTCAAACTGTGGAGCGTGGACCACGTTCGCCAGCTTCTCACACTGACAGAGTCCCAGTGGAGTGACGTTGTGGCTGGGGTGGAAGCTCAGGGAGAGATTTTACTCACAAATGTATGTAAAATGTTACAGTGCTCTCATCTGACTTTTATGCTGATTGAAATTATCTGATTTGATTGTGTTTCATTCTTCTTGTTCTTGTTCATGGGTGGTTGGCGGGTGCTCTGGTGTGATTTGCTCCTTCTTTCCTATCAAATGCCTACGGTCCTTATCTTTCCTCTTTCTTTTCTTATTATGTTATCCTGTAGTAACACGTCCAATCTTTGGCACTTATATGTGCCCTTTTGTGTTGCAATTACCACAAAACTCTTACTAAAATTAAAACCAAACCAAACTTATTCTTTTTCTTGTTTTTGTTCTTTTTCTTCTCCACTCTTCCTCCTCCTACTTGTCCTCCTCCCTGCTGATTTGATATATGAAGATTTTAAATCACATGTAAACCTAAATTAATTTTTTTTTTCAGAACAATCAGTGGAGCTGTCTGTCTGCCATTGAGCATTTCTTATGCCAGCTTGTCAGGAGTCTGCTTGTCTTGCGTCCTTGTCTTATGGTGGTGAAGCGAAGTGAACACTCTCCAAATGCTGCAAGTGTTAATGCCATGCCAGTCCAAGGTTAGTATTAACAAAAACATAAAATATTTTTGGTTGAAGAATTTTAGTGTGAATACAGTAGTATTTGTGTATGTGGAAGGGGGGGTGTGTTATATATATAGATCTATACCAGTTGTATTGCTGAGATTTAAAAAAAGGGAATTAGTAGATATTTTGATATTGTTAATAATGTTAACTGCAGATTTGCCAATTTAATCAATAATAAATTCGTCAACATCTGAGAGGCTATTTGGTGAGGAGGAGGATTACACCTTACTTTTGTTGTTAAAGAAACCCTAATAAAATGCAGGGCCTACCTTTCAAACTGAAAAATGAATTTTTCATCAATAGTATTCATTTAGTACTTTTACTTTTTGTTCATTTATTTTGTTTGGCTTTAGGTTCTCGTCGTTCCCGTAGACTATTGGTTCTTTTCTGAGCCAGTATATGTCTTTATCTTGCAGAATTTATTAGGTCAATATATTCTGCTCTTTTCGTAGTAAGTATGTTTAAATGAGAGGGGTTCCTCATGTTAAGGGTTCCTCGCTTTTCTCCTCTTTCTTTCAACCCTCCCACCTCAGCAGAGCGAGATTCATGCTTTTGTTCCCTGTTAGTGGCTGGGATTCAGGGTATGTAATAACCTGTGAAACCTCCCCCAAAATTTATCCACAAACCATTCTTACGCATATCAGAGATTGAACTTGGTAAGTTGATGATGGGTAAGCACCTACTGCTCGACATACAAAGCAACATTTTCCTTTTCTAAAAGCAACATTTTTTTATAGCTTTGTAGAACTGCTTTCCATATTTGGGCATGCAAAACTTTTTTTGTTTTGAGATGTCAAGCAGCATGTTTCCTTTCTCTCTCTACAGACTTCCAGAAGAAAGAGGTGAAAATAGGTTATGGTTCCTGCATGACACTGACATCTCCATTGCAGTTTGTGAACTGTGTCGGAATCAGAGACATTTGTTGACAGATCAGTGGGTTTGGACAATGACACTTTGTGAGTGAGTTGTGCTGACGATGGAGATTTTAAAAAATGTTGACAAGTGGGTTAATATTTTTAGGAAGACTGTAATTCGTAATTTAGAGACCATGTATTGGTGGGTGTATGTACAAAGGCTGCCTCTTTATATATATATATATCTACGAGAGAACCTGTACTTATTTGTCGGTTTGCCCATTCCCTGTTTGTTTTTGTAGCATTTAATTTTTAATTTCATATTTATATTTTACTTTTAGTCTGGTATATTGCCTTACTTAATGGAAGATTGATCAGCGATAGAAGTGCTATGTTTCTAAGCTTTGACTTGTCTTATGCATATATGTCAACACTGCGACATGTGTCTTTCAATGTGTCTCCCATTATTCTGTAACAATGACCTTGATGGGACTGGGGTGTACAGACAGGTCTGTGCCTTGAAATAAACAAATAAGCGAATGATGAACATTTAAATGGTGCTCACTATATGCATTTATTGAGTCCAAACCTGCTATGTATCTAATACAGATTTGCACAGTTTGCTATTTGATTGCCTAGAGTGTAAGTGCACTTAATTTTTTCTTATCCACCCTGGCAAACCAATAAATGAAATGTTTTGTGAGGTGAATGGACTAGTTTTGATACACTGAAATTTTGCTCGAGGCTGCTACTGGTACCGGGCACAGTTTATGCCAGTTTTCCCAACATTTATTGATATGATTTTGTGCTGTTACTTTTGTTTGCTGGATTAATGTATGAGGTTTATGAAGCATGGAATTTCCATGTAGCTTGTGCATTTCCTCTTGCAAATCCTCCTTTTGACACTGTCTGACCTTGAGTCTTTCTTCTGTCCTGAACAAATGTCAGGAAAATGTTTGAATCTTTGAATGGAGAAAAATGTTAAAAACGGTGGTTGTGATTGTATACCTGAGTCTTTCATTTAAAGTTGATGATATTTTTATTATTATAAGAATGGTCACATTTGCAGATATTGATTTGTTGGATTCGATTTTGTGTCTTTCAAGCTTGACGAGATGTCATATATTGCAGTTATTGCCCTTATATCTGTTCAGAAATGTTCAGCATTTACTTGCTTTTGTAGCTGTAGTCTTTGACAAAGCTACACATTTGCTCCCCCTAGAACTTCAGGATTAAAGTTGAAGGATGAAAAAGGAATGCAAGTGAAGTTTGAGAAATAGAAAACATTTTGTTATCAAAATAAGGTAACATTTAGAGAGTTTTCCTCAAGTAAAGTGGGTGTAAGTGAGAAGTTGCTCAAGGAATTATTGAATGATGATGGAATAATTTACCAGGTCTTTAGGTAGTAATAGATTACTAAATGTGTTGATACTGATTATGTGTTAGGGTTTTGTAAAGTCATTGAACTTCTGTCATCCTGGTTATTGTTCTAGAAATGTGAGAAAAAGTTTGTCAAAGTTTTATTTTATACTCATTTATAATTGTTAGAAATGACAATGTCCTGTGAAATTGTAAAGACAATATTTATAACTTTGTTTTTTTTTATGGTACACCTTTATCTCCTATTTAGGTTCTCCAGTCTAGTCACTGTTAGTTACAAACTTGACACAGATGCAACTGGTTTGGAGTTAAACCTGTTTGGAATTAGCATTTTTTAAAAATAGGAAAATGACCCTTTCTCAGACCACAAGAGACTAAAGTAAGCACACAAAATTGCTTGAAGGGCAGATAAAACTGGACCCCTACTTGATATTGAACAGTATTGTATGTTGTGTGTAAAGCCTATTTCTGACGCTTGTTGAGGTGGAGCTTCTTCCACCTTATTTTGCTCACAGTTAACACGGAGCCCAACATGGACCTTAGACAAAGCTTATAAAAGTCTTGGTCTTTTAAGATATTTTATTTTTTTAGGTAAAGTGAACTTCATCTTTACTAATTTTACGCAACTGTAAACTAGTCAGGTATATAGAACAGATATCATTGAAACAATTTGCCAAACAAAAGGAAATGTAAAAGTCTAAGGTGATTATTAGTTTGAATTTTTGAGATTGGTGAGGGCCTTGGAAAAGATTCCTTTAAAGACACCTCCAAAAGTGTCTTCAACTTCATGTCATGTTGTTTTGTGGCAGCAGTGTAATGATAGCAGAAAACTACAAGCAAACACTGTTGTTTTGTACAGTAGTTGGAAGTGTATATCAAAGCTGGGACTACCCCCCACAAGGGCGGTGCTACTGACTGAAGCTGTCTTTAGGCCATTCCCAAAGGGGGGATATATTATTAACATGTTCTTATGCACAGTACAATTGTAAATAGGCTGATTTATCAATGTCATGCTCGTACTGTGCCAGAACGACATAGGGGGAACTGCTGCCTTTTCTTTCCTCATTCTTACTATCATCATTTTACCTCTACTTCTTTTGGATGTTTGTCTCTTTCTTGTGAACTGCTATTTCCGGGGTGCTTTAATAGTTGTAAAGCGCATAGAGCATGCTCTTGAGCGTGGATATTCGCTATATAAATGCAATTATTATTATTATTATTATAGTCGACACCATAATAAAAAGAAGAAGATGGAGATGGATTGGACATGTTCTGAGAAGAGAACCAGACTCTATTGTGAAGACTGCCCTCAACTGGACACCCGAAGGAAATCGCAAGAGGGGCAGACCCAATGTGACCTGGAGACACACAGTAGAGTCTGAAATGAAGTCCTTGAATCATTCATGGAGGACATTGACCAAGATGGCCCAAAACAGAGAGAGCTGGAGATCCTTTGTTGCTGCCCTAAACGCCAGATGGCATAACGGGTAGTAAGTAAGTAAGTTTGAATGTCGAAGCAGACTTTGTGCTGTTGAGGCTAGAGAAGTGAGCGGAATAAGCCTGATACCCTGTTTGGACTGCTCTGTTGACAACCACCCCTTGGCGCTCATATATGACCTTATGCAGTTGCGAGTGCCGTAAAACCTTACTAAAACTAACTAAAAAGCAGGGAGCACAGTGGCCTGACAAGCCTAGAAATCAGCGCTACTTTTTTTCCCTTTTCTATCCTTGTCTGACTAATAATAGATGTGTTACTTTTTTTGTCCGGCTGTGATGTATATAGTATTAAAAGGAATTGAAATTTCTGCCTCAGAAATCATCAATAATAAAAGGATAGAGCACAAATACAGGTAAATAATTTAGAAAGTTTATTATTTTAAATTTGATATGTTCACACACTTTGTTTGTATTCACCTTATATAGTAATGTGTTTAGCACACCTTTTCATGATTCTCCTATTTCCACAAAATCATGCACAAACTTTTGTGGCAGTTCCAGAAAAATTTTCATGTGCTTCTATTTTTTTTGGTACATTGTAATGTCTTCAGTTAAGATTGAGATACATAACCGTTGGTGCTGTGCTACTGACTGAAGTGTCTTTTGGCCATTCCCAAAGGGGAACATTAACATGATCTTATGCACATTAAAATTGTAAATGAACTTATTCATCAATGTCATACTTGTAACTGTGCCTGAACTGCAACAGGGAATTGTTGCTTTTTCTTTCCTAATCCTTACTATCCTCATTTTTCTTCTACTTCTTTTGTATGTTTGTCACACTCTTGTGACCTTCTATTTCAGGGATGCCTTGATAGTCGAAGCTGACTTTTTGCTGTTGAAGCTAGAGAGGTGAGCACAGTAAGCCTGATTCCCTGAGAAGACTTCTCTGTTGACATCCACCCGTTGGTGCTCATGTGACGGTACGCAGTTGCGAGCGCCGTAAAAACTACTAAAACAAAAAAACAATGAGATACATAATTTATTAAATATACCTGTAGATGCTTTGGAATAAATGCTTTTAAAGTTTTTTTTGGACATCCAATTTTTGTGTCTTTTTTTCCAATGTACTCATGAATATTTTGTATCTATCATTTGTGCTTTATATTGTTTATTGCTGGATTTCTGTTCTTAAGTATCAGTAAAAATCCTTCATTTTTGGGCAGAGAGGATTATAGGTGAAGTATGAAAAAATAGTTATGCACGAAGTTTGTGTATACACCTCATCTGGATGCAAAAGATACATTCCTTGCCTTCTAGCTTTCATAAAGACCTCTACCCATTTAACCATTTCAGTGTCTAATAAATTACTCCTTATTAATTTTTATCAGCAATCCTGATGTTGTTGTGTACAGTTTTATTTTGTTTGGTGTTGCTTTCAACAGGAGTTACTCGATTGCGCATCGGACACACGGCCCTGACCCACAAATACCTACTACAGGGAGAGGAGAAGCCGTTCTGT